ACCTTGCAATACTGGCTTCGGTCTCTTACCTTCCAATATATCTAATGCCCCCGGCACGCCTTTTAACACCATCAGAAACTTAAACTTCCATGTTTTAAAGTTTTTAGAGTTTATGTTCCCAATTTGAACCTTCGACGCTTCTACAATTGACTTATCCATATCTTGATAATGGGTACGTTTTCAATTGATTCTAGCTTCTATGATACTCATACGCTCTGCTACCACTTTAAGAAATCAAAGGGAACAGGAAATGTAATAGATTTAAGATTGAATATTAGTACGTATATTTGTAGTGAAAGTAATATTTATTTCGACAGAACATTAACAAAACAAGTTGCTAGGTAACGCACAGATAAAGGAGAGCACTATCATTGTTAGATAAAGATCTCTTCTTAACAAAATGGTCACAACTCAACTTATTTCTTTGCCCTAGAAAATGGCAGAACACTGATATTCTGATGTGGCCAAAAGCCAGCCGCGAAATTTCGTAGAAAAAATAAAAACAAAAAGAAATATAGATAAAATACATTGTGTGTGTTCATTACATTCACTATTATTTAATATTTTATTCTAATTTAAAAATAATAAATTTATGGGTTTGAAACATAGACAATGGCGCAAAAGGAAAGAAAGACGCTTGAGGTATTCGAAATGTGGACATAGAGTAGGGGTTCTTAAACTTTTAAGATAACGGAACGCCCACCACCTTTTATTTTATGGAACCCCATATCAAGCAATTACAAATCACAAACACTGTAATTTAAATAAGAACAAAAACTTTTATTAGATATATTTTAAAAGTTTACCACTTTATGGTTTCCTTTAAATTTTAATGTGAACAATGAAATTGTTTCACCATATAAATAATTTCGCTGAACTCTGATGACTTTTACGGAACCCCTAGGTTCTGCGGAATCCATTTTAGGAATCGCTGACATAGAGGTGAATGGAAAGTGGACGGATGAGGAAGTTTGAAAGGGATGAATAAGAAATGTAGGTATATTAAAAAAAAAAACTATTGTGAACTTTGTAAATTTAGACCTCTTTCAAACTCATTTTTGTAGGCTAGAGTAATCGCTTACCACTTAGATTTGTTAGTACGTAAATACATCTAAGTCTATGGTTTACCACAGTGTTTTTCAAAGTGTGGGTCGCGACCTCCCGAGCCTCTACAAGGAGGTGGCGGAAGGTCGCGAAGCAGTGAAAAATCAACAGTTCCCTAAATACATCAATCAACCAATAATACATAATGAAGTATGTATAACAGACATCGATTACATATCTGTTTCCGATACTTTATTATGTATTATTTATTTTATTTTATCGATACCTAACTGTAAATATAAATACAACTGTACGGATTTCATAATTGTACTATAATAAAATTCATATACATTCGAAACCGTGGGGTGGGGGGAGGTAAGGGGTCGCAAGATATTTTTACATAATAAGGGGGTCGCGTCATAAAAAATATTGAAAAACACCATACCATAAAACCACATTAAAACTATCAAACGGGCTGTATGCTTGTCTGCCAACTTCTTGGTAAAAAAAAATATAACTTGTAAGGATTATCGGAATCCGTAGATAGAGAATGTCATAGATACCTGTGCTTAATCTATGTCATAATCTGAATATACTCAAAAAACTATGGCTGCATGGATATATTAAAAAAAAGAAAACTTTAATAGTAGGTACACATCTTTAGTTGTGTATATGTATGTACCTAGCAGACTTACACAAGATTTATCCAATATACACCTTATTACCTTAGATTGAAAGTCCAATATTATATTCTGAAACAACTTTACACGTGAACGTGCCATAATGAGCTCGCCAGTTCCGCACGGATCAGCACAACGCCGACCGTGGAGTCGGCTGACTCAGCATTTTATAATAATTTTATTTCCTGGTCATTTTGTTCGATTTGTAAATTCTTAGTAATAATAACAACTGATCTTGTACTAACTTTAAAAAGGAGGAAATTATCAATTCGACCTCCCTTTTTGAAGTAATAGATACAGTATACAATGACATTAAGTTTTGAATTTTTTTTTAATAATTTATCATCATGTTAACTGTCCACTGCTTAACATAGGTCTTCCTCTTGCGTGATTTTGCCAGTAGTTGTCACATTTGGCAAGCGGGTTAGCAACCGTCGCTAGACTTCAGTGATGTTTTAAAGAGGGACACTGCTTCCGATCCCCAGGCCATTAAGTTCTCTCAGTCGCCTCTTACGACACCCACGAGAAAGGAAGGGGTGGTTTATTCTATGCCGGAACCACATGGAACAAGAATAGTAAATATTACTTTAATTGTGTCCGTAATTTTGAGCTTCTTATATTTTATTTATTTATTTAAACTAATTAGATAGCTGGACATACCGTGCTAGTACAGAATCAATTAGAATAATTTTATGATGCATCGTGATTACAAGTAAAGGGTGGGATATGGCAGTGAATTTACAAAGTACAGAGACATAACACCTGAGTCCTCAGGAATGGCAACGCATGGGGGGTATCATGGGCAAAACAATATACTCTGTTGTCCATGGTACTGCTCATGTCTATAGGCGACGATTACCACTTTCCATCAGGTGGACCGTCAGCTTGTCTGCCATTCTAAGTAGTTTAAAATAAAACCTACATATCTTATTTTTTTTATTTAAAATATCTATCAACAACGCTAAAGTATAAAATTTGTAATGTGGGAAATCACATATTTCATTTATTCTTAAGTCTAATGTTTTTAAAGGAATTTTTAATTCACAAATTACATATTAACTTTCTGTAACTAATCAGACAGCCGGATGCGCCACGTTAGTTTAAGAGTGTCCAATTTAGTTTTCGTTTTTTGAGACATGATGCTTTCAGAAAAATATTCAGTTTCATAGGTAGAATAGTAACAGTAATTAAAGATTGTGTTTCACAAAAAAAAAAAAAACTACTTTAATTGTGTTAATATTATACTTAATTATACTGTAATATATTCTTTCAGGTATAATATCGGTATAATATATATATTATACCGATATCTTAGCTAATTATGAATGAGATAAGGTATATTAGAATGTATACTGTTAGTTAACCTTTTAATTAAATGAACAACCAACAAAATTAAAATAAAACGAAATATATATATATATATATATATATATATATATATATATATATATATATATATAAGTACGTAAAAAATACATATCAATTCTGAATCAGCGTCAGTCTAAATGCAATGAGTTGTGCTTCCCAAATATTCGTTGCCTGGTTTCTGATTGGAAAGGCAGTCTTGATGAAGGACTAAGCAATTGGTCTGACTGTATAGCACTTATTATTATTAGATAATTTGTAAAAAAATATTGATATTAAAATATAAGTACTTTACAATTTAAAAAAAAAATATTAAAATTGGAAAACAAATTTAATTTAAAAAGCAGCACGTCTCCACCCCTCACACTATTTCACAAACAAGGGTGGCACGGCACACAAAGGGGATAATTGTTCAAGTTACGACGACAATTGTACGAGCAATTTTCTATTCTACTGCAAATGTAATAAGATCTATTTTATTGATCATATAATGCATAAAGTCTGTCGACTTTGAACTTTATTTACAGAGAATAAAAAACTGCTGACGTCATATATTTCGTGTTGGTTTTTTTAATTTTTACTTGTAGATAGGTTTACACTATCGGGTATCATTAATTGCTAGTTGTTTTTTTAATAGATGATAATGGAGACTGAGAATCCCATTGCTAGCAATATACCCAACCAGGTCGACCTCCTCGCGGTTCCCCCTGGAAACTATCATGGTTAATTCCTGATGAATTCATCATGATGGGCTAACTGACCTGTTTTCATTCTCATCTATCACCCTTCACTGGTGCTCCGCCAGCGTATCCCGTAAGCGCAGGCGGGGTTACCATACCATTTTCACCCATCAAAAAAAAATTTTCAACCGACGCAAAAGTTTAAAATTAACTAAACAAATAACTGTTACCGTATAAAAACGAATCGCTTAAAAAAAACTGTTATTTTTCATTAACTAACACCCAGCGACCCGCTAATGGATCTAATAACCGCTTTTTCCACGTGTCCTCTTCACCCCACGACATCGAGTGTTCGCATATTGTTTTTTCATACGAAAAAACTGTTGACATAAAAAAAACAAATCACTTCCGCCAATTAACCGGACAAGTGAGGGGTGCGTCGAAAGTGAGAACACTACAGGAGGGAAGTGCGCTTTGTTTAATGATCAATTACTATAAGCCATCATGGCTTGTCACACACTAGATAAATAAAAAGTTAAGTTTAAAAATAGAACTTAGCAATTCTACATTTTTTTTTATACAGCTTAGAATGGCAAACAAGCTGACGGCCCACCTGATGGAAAGTGGTAACCGTCGCCTATACACATGAGCAGTACTATGGATATAACAGAGTATACTGTTTCGCTCATGATAGCTTCCGTGCGTTGCCATTCCTGAGGACTCAGGTGTTATTCCTCTGTACCCTGTAAATTCACTGCCATATCCCACCCTTCAAACCGAAATACAGCCATGCAAACACAACTGCTTCACGGTAGAAACACGACAGGGGCAGAGATGCTCAAGCAAACGATTTTTGTACAAAGTCTCCCTCTAGATGTACAACAGGCGAACTTAACTCTGTAAGAAGACGTTATGGGGAAATATTAATTTTTTTTTAATAGATGATAGTGGAATGGTAACGGTATACGCTGGCGGGGCACCAGTGAGGGATGATAGGTGAGGATGAAACGACAGGTCAATTAGCCCATCGTGATGAATACACCTGGAATTCAAAACAATGGTTTCCAGAGGAAGCACAAGGAGATCGACCTGACAGGTATATTGCTAACAATAGGACTGGTAATCCGTTTACTAACAATCCCTTCCCCCCATATTAAAATGTTATCCTATATACCTATTATATGTACATTTGGAAAAAGAAGAAAGATGCTGATGGTGATGTTCTTTGCAGGGTGGCATCACTGACCGGCTACGAGCCACAGGATCTCATCGAGAAGACTCTATACCATTATATACACGGAACCGACGTGCTGCATATGAGATATTCGCATTGTACCCGTGAGTATAGCAGTATTTCTTGTTTTATACAACTTAGAATGGCAAACAACCTGATGGAAAGTGGTAACTTTCGCCTATAGACATGAGCAGTACCATGGACATAACAGAGTATACTGTTTCGCCCATGATACCTCCCATGCGTTGCCATTCCTGAGGACTCAGGTGTTATTCCTCTGTACCCGATAAATTCACGCCATATCCCACCCTTCAAACCGAAACACAGCCATGCAAACACAACTGCTTCACGGTTGAAACACGAATGAGACATAGGTACCCAAGCAATCGACTTTTGTACAAAGTCTCCCTCTGGTAAATACCACAAAGGTGACAAAAAAGCCTACAGCCCCTCTGATGGTATGATCACTGTAGCCTATGGACGCCTGTAACGCTAGGGGTGTCACGGGCGCGTTGCTGACCTTGAAGAAATCTTAATATACCCTTTTTGAAGAACTCAATACTGTAGTCTCTAGAGCAACAGTTTCCCAAGCTTTTTTATGCCATGCCCCACTTGAACATATCTAAGATTTTTTCCCGACAAAGTTTACTTGATGACTCTAATCGCCCAGTTGATATTTTGGTAATGTCAAACGAAATTATACCTAATAAATATTTACACCATTTTTTATTTTACTTTTTTTTGTTAAATTTGGTACCGATATCTACTCGTAGCATTGTATTTAAATGGCCCAAAGAAAGAGGGTTAAAATCGCTTCGAGACCATTTTTTAATTGCCACCCCCCTTAACTATCAAATTGCACCCGTGTGGGGTGTGGGCCCCACGTTGGGAAACACCGCTCTAGAGAAAACCTCGGTAGGAAGCTTGTTCCACAGCCTGAGCGTTCGCGGGGAATTCCTTTGAAACCGCACTGTACGTGACCATTTAGGTTCAAGCGTGTAGAGGATGAATTCCCTGTCGATGGCGAGCGGCGCGGTGATAAAAGGTGGCTGTGGGCATCATTTCAAACAATTCCTCAAAAGAGAATGTATAACAACCGATTTCAAACAAAGAGGTTCTCAATTCGATTGTAGTTTTTTTTTTATGTTTGTTACCTCATAGCTCCGTCAGTTGTAAACCGATTTGATAAATTAATTTTTATCTAAAATTTAGAAATTTGTTTGTATTTTGTATTCCGATCGTGTCGTCCCGCTATAGAATAGGTCACACCTTCCTTTCCCATGGGTGTTGTAAGAGTCGACTAAGGGAGGGCGAGGGATGGGCAGCAGCGTCGCTCATAATACTCTCCAAAGCTTAACTGCGGTTGCCAATCCGGCTACCAAGCGTGGCTAATGTGATGATGATGATGAATTTTCACACGAATTTTTTATTTATATAATTAAACTTTAAAAAAAAAACAGCTAAATTTCTTGCGTGTTTTCTTGTCTGTAATTACGTTCCGAATGATCAATAATGAAATGAAAAAATTACTATAAAAAAAATTTTTGACTTGAATAAAAATATTTCTTTCCTTCTTCTTTCTTTCCTAAATATAAAAATGTTCGTTCTCATTTGACAGTGCTAACAAAGGGCCAAGTGACGTCCCGCTACTACCGTTTCCTGACAAAGTCAGGCGGCTGGGTGTGGATGCAGAGTTATGCGACCATAGTGCACAATTCGCGCTCCTCCCGCCCACACTGCATCGTTTCTGTTAATTATGTGCTCAGGTAAGTAAAGTACTTTGTGCTTTTATTTTTTATTAATTTTATTATCAGACAATTTTTAATTACTTTTTTTACCAGAGGGAGATTTGGTACAAAAGTTGTTTGCTTAGACACCTCTGTCCCATTCGTGTTTCTACCGTGAAGCAGTTGTATTTGCATGGCTGTATTTCAGTTTGAAGGGTGGGATATGGCAGTGAATTTACAGGGTACCTCTGTACCACTCTCTGTACTCAGATGTTATTGCTCTGAATAATATCTGAGTCCTCAGGAATGGCAACGCATGGGGTATCATGGGCGAAACAGTATACTCTGTTATGTCCATGGTACTGCTCATGTCTATAGGCGACGGTTACCACTTTCCATCAGGTGGGCCGTCAGCTTGCATGCCAATCTAAGTTGAATAAAAAAAGACAAAAAATATAATTCATTACAATTAAACATACATATAAGCTACACTCACAAAATCATGTAGATTTATTCAAAATGGCTTTTCAAATCAGCTATTTGTACATAATTACACCCGACAACCGTTGAGGAAGAAAGGTTTTTGAGTGGCGACCCCATACGAGCAAACGCAATGTAGGATAGTTACCTAACCAGATGGAGTGACGACCTTAAAAGTCAAAAGATGCAAGTGGCTCATGACCGTTATTTTTGGGTCTATGCAGTCTATGTGGAGGCCTACGTTCAGCAGCGGACAGATAGCGGCTGAGACGATAATGATAACGTAAATTACATATTAACACGAGTAATAACAACAAAACTTGACACGTAACTGTGACACGGCCATTATTATCCAAAATACATTGCAACAGCGAAGACCAATTTTGTTCAACTATCAATATTTTGTTGCAGCGACATCGAGGAGAAACATCTTATACTAAACATCGACCAGGGCCCACCCAAACCGAGCCACGACATCCCCACCCCCTCCCAACACATCCCGACCACCACCACCTCACCACAAATGCCACACCTCCGGCACACAGACAAAATCAGCCATATACATTTAAACGAGAGCGACTTCAGCGGTGACTCGAGTGGGGGGTACACGTACCCAGAATACGCTTTACCAGTCATCCAACAGTACGACAACCAGGAGGAGTACCAGCATCAGCAGAACGGCACATACCAGGAGCTGTTCTACAACGAAAACTATCCGGAACCGGAGTTATTGCCGGGTAATTACGTTAACTACCCACAAAATCAACGGCCGTTCTCGGCGAGCTCGTCCTCGTGCAGCTCTATTGAGAGTTCGGAGATCGCTAATCAACAGTATAGTTATACGAACCTAATATCGTTTTACGGCCATAACGGTCAAGCGCAAAACGGCCGACCCGCGGAGAACTTTGGCAGTAATTTCGGAAAGATGACCCCAAGCCCGTCAGTTCAGGAGGGCTACACGAGTGTTATTGTGGACAACACGCAGCAGTTCCACCACCACGGTGGGGGCGTCAACGAGTTTGTGCATTGACGAAGTTATTTAACTGTACATGAGGAGAGACCATAGTTAAGATTGTGTATTCCACAAAAAAACCTAGTTCAATCATAACCAAAACCAGTTATTTTAACTTAATCAGTAAACTATTGAACCGATTTTGATAAAGTTTGCACGAGACAAATCTAAAAGTATAACCTTTCAGATAAAAAAAGAATTTTCCAAATAGGTTTTATAAATGAGTTACTCATTATAAATCCATTTTAATTAAAATAATTTACCCTTGAAACGGTCCCAACACTAGTTTGTCAAAATTGAAGTAGGTATTTTTGTTAAAAAAGAATTTTTTATTTAAAAAAAAAACAATATTGGAGCCAAATTATTCCTCATCTAATTTCAGTCATTAGGAATTATTAACTTTTTATTTGAATTAATTGGCTGTATGTGTATTTGCTGAAGTCGAAAATTATTTTATACTGTTATATTAAAAAAAAAAATGAAGGCGCTGTGCTAATATTAGAGTGAAAGATTCACACGAATTTAAACAAAATTAAATATACTATGCAAGATATTGTGTCTATTGTAAATTTATTTTCTCATACTATTTCAAGTGGTGCGATAACATAACGTTATTTGCTTATTTATAACTGTTATTACCAAATAACGGTTATCGAGAACAACGTTAGTGTAGTGACGTCATAAGACAGTATCGCTACCATGAATTTGTAGGCTTACAGATAATTTACTACAGTAGATTACTATAAAGTTTCTACAGTAGTTGTTGCATTCGATATTTAAGCGACTGTCGAATATTTCAAATACATTATATAATTTAGAAAACTCACTCCATAACTTTAACGTGGAATAATACAAGTACTTTTAATTGAACTATCTGTTACATTCCGGAAGTCGATATCACTGGTTATTTGATTAAAATCATTTTCTTTACTTCCGCTACCGTTAGTATATGTGTGACAGTCAACACTCAAAGATTGACTATCTACTCATACATCTACATAACTGTTAATAAACATTAGCCATCAATCTCCGACTGTTATTTTGTTCACGCATGTTTTGCAACATGTGTTTCACCTCTAAACGAGGCATCATGTATTAACGTATCTGTACAAACTCGTGGTAGCGATGTTGATATTCCAAATATGTAAATAGTTGTACATAGAATTATTTAAGTATAAATCGAAGACTTATCTGTAATAGCTTATTTATACATGTACGTTTTAAATTTTATATTATATAATATATTAAAAATTATACTAGTTTAATAGTTTATTATGATCTTTTTCTCTTATTGCTCCCTAATTTCTTGTTTTTTTTTTTTAAATCATATACATAACATACGTCTAGATGGAGTGTCGATTTAAAAATGGAACGTTCCAAAAACGGTCCACTAACCGTTGGCTTGTTGATTTTTTCTTAGAATGTACGAAATTTTTAAATATAAAATTGGTAATATCATCGTAGTAGGTAGTATCACTGATGAACATAGGTCTGCCCCATAAGGGGTGAGGGGGTGGGCAGTAGTTGACAGGCTTGGCATGCAGGTTGGCAATCGCTGTTGGACTTTGGTGATATTTTAAAAATGGACGTTACTGTCCATCGCTAGAGCATATAAATAGATATATCAATATTTTTTATTAAAATTAATAACATAGTAAATACGAAATGTACCCCAACTTCGCGCAAGTATACTATTTATTTATTTATAAATTGCTCACCACACTTACAATATCCCAAAACGTGTAGTGAAGCATAGGTTTATTTTCCAAATTTAAAATTTTTAAACAACATTTAAAAAGTATATCTAATTTAAAAAGTGTATTTAATTTGTATTAAGTATATCAATATCTGGCTGCTGAGCAATCAGATTATTATTAGAAATACCGCTATTAAAAATACCGGTCAAGTGAGTGTAGAACTCACGCTCCGAGGGTTCGATACATCAGTATAAATGACATAAAATGACCTTTATCGCTTTTCTAATACGAAACAGAAGGCCTACCATGAAATGTTTTCCGAAATTTCGGAGCCAAACGAAACACAAATTTGATGTTAAAATTACATAATACATGCCGTTTGGAAATATTAAAAATGTTAAAATAACGTTCCTTTGGACTTTTATGATAAGATGTATGACGAACGAAATGTTTGTTGGTCCGGTTTTGGTATAAACAAAAACACGAAATTGAGTCCGAAATTTCGGAATTTCATTTCATGGTAGACCCGCTGATTCATAATAGTTATTATTATTGATACTATATTTCGTATTTTCTTTTTATTTTAGACCATAATTGTGGTTAAAACCACATAACTAAGCTTATTTTTTTGGAAGTATTATGGTAATTTTTCAAAAACGGCGCTAGTTAGAGACATAAAGACCATTACAACAATATTAACAAGCTTGTGTTCCACATAAAAAAAGTCAACTTAAATTCTGGTAAAACCAGTTATTTAAAAACTAAACTGCTGAATCAATTTTTATAATATTTCAACGGAACCAATTGTGAAGGTATTTCAGATAAAAAAAAAAAAAGAATTTTACAAATCGGTTTATAATATGAAAATACAATTAGTTATAAACGAATAAAGATTGGATAGAATCGATTCAGTTAACGCATGTATAGAAAAGAACAAGACACCGGATATCGTCATCTCGTTTTATCTTATGGACTATGGTTAGCGACGCGATGGGTACTTCTTTAACAGTCAATAAAAAATCAAAATTAGTAGTAATAATTTAATTTTTATTTTTTATTAGGAGTTCAATTTGTAGGAAGACACTGCATCTAGATGTTATTGGTATAAAATTACCCTAAAATATAAAATAGGGCAAGTATAAATACTATTAGATACTAAAACTAAAGAGGAGACCTTTATTTATTATTGGTATTCATTCGAAATTATTCAAAAAAAAAAGTCTCTATGGTTCCATAGAGACTTATTTTTTAAATCGAAAAACGAATCAATCACTAAGAACAAGGAATGACTTCTATTCCAAAATCTTTGGTAGAGAACCATAGAGATTTTTTTTTTATATTTTGGTATTTAGACCGTAAAGACAATGATTTACTCATAATAAAGTATGTAAAAAATAGAAAAAAAAAGTTATTTATGATTAACCTATTCCTTTTTCTTTTTTCTATTTTATATGATTACTAATAATAGATAAAGAATCGGACTCTATTACTAATATTTTGTAAAAAAATACCTAATCGAATTTACTTCCTTAATCTAAATGTAATATTATATTACTATGAATTTTAAAATCGGTACAGATACCGTAATATCAAATCATAGACAATAATAGATTAGTATCTTTTAATTTGTAGTTGTACACTTTAAGTAGTAATAATATATTTGATACTTGATCTATGTACAAAGTGTAACTATTCAACTAAATACCAAATTGTACTAACGCCCTGTATTCGTTAATATATATATATATATAAATTAATGATACTAAATATAAGTAAGTACTCATTGTCAACTTTTTTATTGCCCCAGATTAATTTATCTTACAGAGAACCTGCTTATGTATGTTTGTTTTTTTTTTATTTATTTAACTGCTTACTACATTGTCACAAAAATAACATAAAGACAAAATGTAATAAGTTTACGATCTTTCAAACTTAAATATCTTTAATAGAAATATTTTAATATTTCTATTAAAAACATACATATACTTAACATAACTTACTTATTTTACTTATGACTAGGCTGTATGGGCCATGCTCTTTGCCTGTCCATTTTGAATGAATTTTAAAACAACAATCAATATACTTAATATAAAATTGTCTATTTGAATCAAACACAAGAGTAGGACAACTGCTAAAAAGCAAAACAGTATACAATCCGATTTTCACCATTCTTTCTGCAATCGACAGGAATCCTATCGTTTTAATTTTGTGACAATGGAAGTTGTCCTTTTGAAATCTGTCTGTTACGAAATAAAATCTATATTGAGTACTGTAATTTGAATATTATACATATATTTACAAATGTATATGAAAAATAAGCTATATTTTTTTTTGTTGGATGAAAATGGATTGGTAACCCCGCCTGCGCTAACGGGATACGCTGGCGGAGCACTAGTGCATGGGGGGTATCATGGGCGTAACAGTATACTCTGTTATGTCCATGGTACTGCTCATGTCTATAGGTGACGGTTACCACTTTCCATCAGGTGGGCCGTTAGCTTGTTTGCCATTCTAAGTTGTATAAAAAAAAAACAACCAGACAAAAATTCTTCAGTTTTTCTTATACATCTTCCATGTACAGACAGTAACCAGTTACGATTTTATTATATCTATTGATTAGTTAAATGTATTAGAAATTTAGTTCCTATTGGCATTTACAATAAAGATGTCGCTGTGTTATCAAATTGAAATTTATTTTTGAGAATAGGTTTAAAGGAAGGTATGTTAGAATCGTTCCTAATGCATTGTTACTCTAAGAGAATGTTCCATTTTTTTTTTGATGGGTAAAAATGGTATAGTAACCCCGCCTGCGCTAACGGGATACGCTGGCGGAGCACCAGTGAAGGGTGATAGATGAGAATGAAAACAGGCCAGTTAGCCCATCATGATGAATTCATCAGGAATTAACCATGATAGTTTCCAGGGCGAACCGCGAGAAGGTCGACCTGGTTGAGTATATTGCTAGCAATGGGATTCTCAGTCTCCATTACTAACAATCCCTTTCCCCCTAGAATGTTCCATTCGGTAAGCCGGTAGTACATTTTATTTCAAAACGTATATATATACGAAATTTGTGAATTAAGTGCCATCCTATTGGAGTCGACTAGTCCTTATAAATATGTAAATAATGTAGACATCTTAGATTATATAGATAGAGTGTCTCCATACAAATGCTTCGAGGAAAGCGGATCAATTTTTTCATACAATTTTACGTGATATATAGTTATGAGTGATTCCTTTATAACTTCTATAATTATGTCTTATAATTTCTGCATCTTTTTAATACATAAATACTTATTTTATTTATTAAATATAAATAATACGTGAAAATACATTACATGTGTAAGTATATATTGTTTATAATTACTCCTCTCCATCCAAAGGTTGCCTGCAAGAGATCGCTCTTAGCGATAAGGCCGCCCATTGTTTTCTCATTGTGATTATTTCTTGTAATTATTTATATTTATAATAAGTTTACTATTGTAATCTTTTGGAGGAAACAATAAAGAGTATCTATCTATCTATCTATATAGAACACTGATAAAAAAACGATCGGTTAATTTGACAATTAGCTGACAAAAAGTTGACCCGTTTTTGAGGCTCGATGCTCTATCTATATAGTCTAGGTAGACATATAGTACATTACCTAGATGTAGTAAAGCCTTGTACGTAATAAAATCTCGAACGTTTTAAAACCTATTTTAACTAGTGAGGTCTTTATCTTACACGCTGAATTTCCAATTTTAGAAGATAGTAACAGAAATTTCCAATAGTTAAAATAGGTGTGTAGAACGATTTGATTTTTATAATTTAAAAATATGTAGCGTATAAAATTGTATCCTTTATTTATTATGATTTATTAAAATATGCCAACAAAATGTCTTTTTTTTTTTAATTTGACTATCATCGCCATGTCAGCCTTTAAATGTCAACTGCTGGTCATAAACCTCTCCGTTGAGGGTTTTGCCAGCAGTTGCTACGCTTGGCAGGCGGATTAGCAATCGCAGTTAGGTTATTTTGATGGGTGAAAATGGTATGGTAACCCCGCCTGCGCTAACGGGATACGCTGGCGGAGCACCAGTAAAGGGTGATAGATGAGAATGAAAACAGGCCAGTTAGCCCATCATGATGAATTCATTAGGAATTAACCATGATAGCTTCCAGAGAGAACCGCGAGGAGGTCGACCTGGTCGGGTATATTGCTAGCATTGGGATTTTCAGTCTACATTACTAACAATCCCTTTCCCCCCGATTTAAAAAGATTTACATTTATCATTTCATGCCATCTGTTGACGTATAAAAGATTTAATAATGTATTTATAATTTTGCTACTGACCAATAGATGGCAACACAAGTGACATTTTTCTGCATTTTAGTTTCATAGGATGTGAATTGAAGAGATTATATGAAATACTAAGTCGCATTAAATGGTGTTGAATGAACGTTGAGTAAGGAAAGCGCTAACTACTGTATACCCAGATGATGTGTGGATTTAGAGGACAAACTAACAATCCCTTCCCCTGCCTCCTAAGGGTATTTTGCACTGTCCATACGTCAGTATTTGAATTATTGTAGTATGATTCACACGCTGGCTAATATAAAAAAAAATTAAGTTAGATATCTTGTTTAGCTCATTGCTGGTCGTTGGTTTTTATTATTGATAAATTTGCAAAATCTTCGAACTAGTTGAATAAAATTGAAACATGAATAAAATGCTGTGTATTGACGTTAAAACGGAGACAATACTTTTATTTGGAGGGGGAGGGGGGGGGTAGTAATGCGGACTCCCAGTCCTATTGCCAGCAACATACCCTGTCAGGTCGACCTGCACGCAGCTCCCCCTGGAAACCATCTTGTTGAATTCCAGGTGCATTCATCACAATGGGCTAACTGACCTTGCATTTTCATCCTCACCTATCATCCCTCGCTGGTGCCCCGCCGGCGTATACAGATAGCATGGCCGGAGTTAACATCTTATAATAGTTAAATAACTCACAACAGTTATTTTAAACCTTTTGAAAAATTCATAATAAAAAGCCTTATAAAACGAATCATTTTTATTACAAAAATTACAATAAATTAACTTTTATTTCTATTACAAGAGCTCCATAATATAACTTAAACTATAACCTCAAAAACATAAGACTGTACTTAACTGTAGTCAGAGCATTTGTAATAATTTGTAAATATATTGGCAACAATGGGGACTAACCGCCCCATTGCTAACAATATACCCTGTCAGGTCGACCTCCACGCGGTTCCCCTTGGAAAGCATCATGGTTATTTCTTGTGGAATTCGTCACGATGGGCTAACTGACTTGCATCCTTTCATCAAGCTTTCATCCTCACCTATGTTCCCTCACTGGTGCGGCGCCAGCCAACCATACCTGTATACCAACAGCGCTGGCGGGGTTACCATCCCATTTTCACCCATTAAAAAAAAATAAGTATAAATATACTAGATATACGTTAGCTCCCGACTGCGGGCGGCCGTTCACCATCAGCGCCGCTTAAGTACCATCAAAGGTTTTTGTATATTAAATGCTTCTATCAGCTCCTGAAAATTAAAAAAAAAATGTAAAGAACACGATCTAGTGACAAAAATCTAAAAAAATGTATGAAAGAAGGATTATGAGAGAGATTTATAGAGCAAGAATGTATGGAGATATCGGTAGGGGCCGCCCTAGACGGACATATGACGACCGAATAGGCGACGTGCTGAAGGAGGTCCAAATTAGAAGTACCCGTAACCGGCGAGCGTGTATGAAAAAGGAAGCAAGGCGACTTTGTACAAAAGTCGTTTGCTTGGGCACCCCTGTCCCATTCGTGTTTCTATGGTTTGAAGTGTGGGATATGGCAGTGAATTTACATGGTACAGAGGAATAACATCTGAGTCCTCAGGAATGGCAACGCATGGGGGGTATCATGGACGAAACAGTACACTCTGTTATGTTCATGGTACTGCTCATGTCTATAGGCGACGGTTACCACTTTCTATCAGGTGGGCCGTCAGCTTGTTTGCCATTCTAAGTTGTATAAAAAAAAGCGAAAGAGGCCTGTTTGAATCGAAGCATTTGGCGTTACTTTACTTCTGCCTACCCTAATGGAAGACAAACATGACGGATATGTATGTATAGGATTAAGGAAACAATCGTAAGTCGGTCTTACTTCCTCATGCTGGTATTTTTTTAATGGATGATAATGGAATGGCCACTCCACCTGCGCTAACGGTATACGCTGGTGAAGCACCAGTGAGGAATGATAGGTGAGAATGAAAAGGCAGGTCAGGTAGCCCATCGTGATGAATACACCTGGAATTAATCACGATGGTATCCGGGGAAAAGGGATTGTTAGTAATGGAGACTGAGAATCCCATTGCTAGCAATATACCCAACCAGGTCGACCTCCTCGCGGTTCTCCCTGTAAACTATAATGGTTAATTCCTGATGAATTCATCATGATGGGCTAACTGGCCTATTTTCATTCTCATCAATCACCCTTCATTGGTGCTCCGCCAGCGTATCCCGTTAGCGGAGGCGGGGTTACTATACCATTATCACCCAGCAAAAAAAAAATCACGTTGGTATCCAGAGGGGGCCACGTGGAGGTCTACCTGACAGGGTACATTGTTAGCAATGGGACTGGTACTAATACATTACTAACAATCCCCCCCTCACTATCAATCCTAGTAGCATCTTTACCTGCCACCGCGCCGTATCCAAGGAGACTATGAATTGGTTCTCGTCCCCGGCGGCGTCCTCGTGCTCCTGGGACACCGGCCTCACGAACGGCAGCGCGTACTCCTCGTCTGTACAATACAAAAATGTACCAAACCGCCTGGCCTCAACGGTAATAGCTTTGACTATATAAGTAGAGGGCCAAACGTCAATTTAGCTGATTGTCTTTTGACACATTTTTACAGGGGGAGGTGTAAACGGATCACGTGCTTGTCAAAACTACAGAAACAAGAGGGGGGTGACTACAAAAACAATTATTCCCATTACCAACAATCAAGGGAAAGGGATTGTTAGTAATGGAGACTGAGAATCCCATAGCTAGCAATATACCCAACCAGGTCGACCTCCTCGCGATTCCCCCTGGAAACTACCATGATTAATTACTGATGAATTCATCATGATGTGCTAACTGGCCTGTTTTCATCCTCATCGATCACCCTTCACTGATGCCCCGCCAGCGTATCCCATTAGCGCAGGCGGGGTTACCACTGCATTTTCATAGAATAAAAAAAAACGGTATACACTGGTAGGGCACCAGTTAGGGATGACAATCACTTGTCACCCCTAACTGGTACCCTACCTGTGTAATTCTCACGAATTAAAAGGCAGGTTAATTAGCCCATCGATTAATACACCTGGGATTCGTCACGACGGTTTCCAGGGAGAACCAGGTGGAGGTTGACATGCCAGGGTATTTTGCTAACAATGGGACTAGTAATTCGCATTACTAACAAACCCCTCCCCCTATACTGAGATGTTAGCAATGAACTAACCAAGCTGCACAGCCACCTTCCCATCTCTGATGAGGAAGGACAAGTGGTATATATTCTCGATGGTGCGGCTGAAGCTGTCAGGGTCCAGAACTACGTGGAAATAGCTCAGCGGTTTCTCACCGCCATCCCGGTAGGATTTGAGGATGAACCGGTTCACTCTGCTCACCATCTCGGAGCCTTCTTCTGTCTTCTCCAATCTGGAATATAAAATTGAGGTAATTATGTATTTTTTTTCTAACTCTGCTGTTTCTATAAAGGGTGGAGGTGAAAACTGTCTTATATGAAGAAACAAAAACATATCCAATTGTAAGCTATGAATAAAGGTTTTTTTTTTTATACAAGTTAGAATGGCAAATGGCTGACGACCCACCTGATAGAAAGTGGTAACCGTCGCCTATAGACATGAGCAGTACCATGGACATAACAGAGTATACTGTTTCGTCCATGATACCCCCCATGCGTTGCCATTCCTGAGGACTCAGGTGTTATTCCTCCGTACCCAGTAAATTCACGTTATATCCCACCCTTCAAACCGAAACACACCCATGCAAACACAACTGCTTCACGGTTGAAACACGTATATATATATACAATATTTATATACTGGTGGTCTACCATGAAATGAAATTCCGAATTTTCGTGCTCAATTTCGTGTTTTTGTTCGTACCGAAATCGGCCCAGTAAATGGAGTTAAACATTTTGTTCATCATAAATCCTATCCTAATAGTCCAGAGGAACGATATTTTAACATTTTTAATAATTTTAAATGGCACGTATTATGTAATTTTAACATCAAATTTCTGTTTCGGTCGTCCCAGAAATTTCGGAAAATATTTCATGGTAGCCCCTCTGGTCTAATAAAGAATATGTTGGATAACTCATTTTGAACATATTCGAAAATAAATATCCGACCGATATGGGCTGTTAGCATTACCATCCATTAAAAAAAAATAATTAAAAACCCACTTGTCAATCTTCTCGGGCGCCTGCAGCGCGGCCTGCTGCTGCCGCTCGGTGCGGCGGCGCGGCTGCCGCGGCCGCTGCTCGGGCGGCGTCGGCGCGAACGAGCCGAACAGGCTCACCGCCGGCGGCACCTCCAACGGAAACGGGAACCACCACGCTTCGGGGTTCTCGCGCTATACCATACACTATGTGTTCAATAGAAGAGATATACAGAGCGTGGAATAGAGATATAAAGGAATGCAACCAGCAATCATGCTATAGAATATATTAGAACAAAAATTTCACAAATAAAATAGTCAAAAACGACAATATTTGAACCTCACATACTAACGTAATAGTTGGGGGGAACGATTGTTAGTTTTTTTTCTTAATGGATGATAATGAAATGGTAACGTGGTATGGTGTTCAATCATCCTCCATTGTGGCTTCCTCAGGTGTGCCTCAGGGCTCTATTTTAGGACCTCTATTCTTCAATGTCTTCATTAATGATATTATGCAAAATATTAAGCATAGTAATGGATACCTATTCGCTGATGACTTTAAAATGATGAAGATAATAACAAAACCATCAGATGTGGAATGTTTTCAGAAGGACATCGATTATTTATTCAAATGGTGTAATAATAACAAAATGTATTTAAATACTTCAAAATGTTACCACATAAAGTTTACACGGAAACTCAAGAAGTTGCAATCGCATTATTTTATCGAGGGTAAGCAGCTTCAAGAGGTTAGTGTTGTGCGAGATCTTGGGGTTTTGATGGACAGTCAACTAAGATTTTCGGAACATATTGATAAAATTGTAAATGAATCAAATAAATCATTGGGTTTTATCCTTAGGAATACAAGGTGTTTCAAGAAACCATCCACTGTCATTCAACTGTACAATAGCTATGTCAGAAGCAAGTTGGAATATTGCAGTATGGTGTGGTCACCTATGTACAGGATACATGAGGACAGAATAGAGAGAATACAGAGGAAATTCGTTCGTAGCCTAGCTTATCGTTTTAAAATATCAAGAAATATGAAAACCTACAAAAACAAAATTAAACATTTTCACCTTAATGAACTATGCCTGCGCAGATCTTACCTTGACATGTCTTATCTTCATAAGTTAGTGAATAATCACATTGATTGCCTGCCTCTACTGGGAAAACTAGATTACAATGTACCTACTAGAGTGCCGCGGCATCCTTGTAATCTATTTAAAAATGCAGCTTGCCGAACAAACTTGGGTCGCGAATCACCTATCGTCCGCATAACGTGTCTGTATAACGATATTGTAAAAACCAAGCCTGAACTTGATATTCACTGCGATAGTCACTCTGTATTCATGACTAAATTAAAGTGTTGATATACCTCCCCATTACATTATATTTATTTATATTTTATAATAATTTGAATACAATTTCCATTATTTATATTATATTATTATTCATATTGTTAATGTCTTTACTCATTTAATAATTTAATTATATTTTAATGTTTGTCAAACACAAGGCATGCTGTGGTTGCCTATAAATGTAAGAACGGTGAGATCTGAGCTGCCAGTGTATTGTATTAAAACTTAGCTTTATTGTAGCTGTATCTTATGTTGGTAATCCTGTAAATAAATAAATAAATAAATAACCCCACCCACGCTATCGGTTTACACCGGCGGGGCACCAGTGAAGGATGATAGGAGAGGATGAAGTAGGTCAGTTAGCCCATCGTGACGAATTCCACTAGAATTGTTCACGATGGTTTCCAGGGGGAACCTAATAAGGCATATTGCTAACAATGGGGCTGTCAAACTCCATTACTAACAATCCCCTTCCCCCCGAACGATTGTTAGTTACATTGACTACCAGTCCTATTGCTAGCAATATACCCTGATACGTTGACGTTAAAGTTGTATCCATCACGATGGACTAACTGACCTGCCTTTTCATCCTCACCTATCATCCCTCACTGACCCCACCAGCGTATACCGATAGCACAGGCGAGGTTACCACTCCATTTTCAACAATTAAAAAAAAAGTACTTGATTCCCATTCTAAATCACGTATAAAGATCGTTTGCAAGTTGTTTGCAAACGATCTTTATACGTTTGCAAGATCCACAATCAAGGGCAAGATGATGACACTCACTATGTGCCGTGCAAGCTCATGGCGGTCGTATGTGTTCACGTTGCCACTAACTGCCTCCGAGCAGCGCACCGCCAGGTCGCTGGTGGCTCGCAGCACCCGCGAGTCCAAGTACGCCTCGCCTGCAACACAACAGTCGCGGATCCTACTTCAAGATTGTAGTTACAGGCATCCGAAAATCAACCATGCGAGTCGGAGTATGAACACGATCAAGGTCGGACTGGGCCGCAGGGGCCTGAGTGGCTAACCACAAGCCCGAGGCCAGAGACTACATGACGATACATGATTATGTTGCACCAGTTGGTAACAGCACTGCAAGCTTGCAAGCCAGGCCCATGGGCGGCCCACGCAGGCTGGGGCCAGCTAGCAAATGCCACCTCGATTATATAATGAGATTTTACAGAATATATGATGCCCTGGCCAAGGTTTTATAGAATGTATAGTTCCATGTGTGTTGTAATGTTCCATGTTCCATAAAGCTGTGGGGTGAGCATTATGAAATTAATAAACTTGTAAAATGTTGTCATGTGATAACTGCCACACTTGGTAAGTGGATTAGCAACAGCAATTAAATGTTTTAAGAGGGAGGCTGCAACTCATCCCTTGACCATTACTAGTCACCTTTTACGATAATCACGGGAAAGGAAGGGTTTTTCTTTAATGGATGATAATGGAATGGTAAATGGAGGAGGCTTTTACCCTTGGGGACCACTGAAGTGAATAAAAAGCTATAATAATAATAAAAAAAATGAGTACCCTCACCCGCGCTATCGGGATATGCTGACGGGGCACCAGTAAAAGATGATAGGTGAGGATGAAGCAGGTCAGTTGCCCATCATGATGAATTCAACAAGAATTATTCACAATGGTTTCTAGGGGGAACCATGTGGAGGTCGACCTAATAGGGCATATTGCTAGCAATGGGGCTGTCAAACTCCATTGCTAACAATCCCTTTCCCCTAAAAAAGAAGGGTTAGCCCTATTCTTGGGTCCTATGCCAGGACCATGTGGCAATATATATTTCATATCACTTCACATTAAAAATTCAATAAAGTGCAGAATAAATAATCCCATAACTTATTAAATAAATGAAAAATTTGTTCTCTTCACAAGTAGAAAAAGATAATTTTTAGTACTGCAACACTAAATTTAAATATTAATTTGCAATTCATCAATATACCTGGATGCTTGACTCTCTCCTCTACGTCACCCTCAGCCAGTAGGTTCTGTGCTTCCTTGACAGCATTGGCCGTCCGCTCCATACGTTCCACATTGGAGCTGCTATCGTCTTCTGCAACCATTACATTTTCTATTCAATTTTATTTATTTTTTTGTTTGTTACCTCTGTTATATATCAAATAAGGAATAACACAAATTAATCATGGTTTTTTTATTGTGAATCGCGTATTACAACTGATGATAGGTTATGTGTTAGTACCATACATAATAATAGCTTTTTCCATAAAAAAAATTATAACAGTGAGGGTGGTTCTAGAAAAACACTGACACATTGAATTATTGATATACAACAACCTCATAACTCTATCAGTTATAAATCAATATTTATTTATTTATTTATTCATTAGTACAAATATGTGTACATGGCGGACTTAATGCTAAAAGCATTCTCTCCCAGTCAACCGTAGGGAAGTGTCAGAATACTCGAATGTGGTACTAGTAATTATTGATATACATACATACTAAAATTACATATATATACAATATGGATATACTTTCAAATTGGTCCCCATAGAGATTTCAACAAAATTGGTGCAGTGGTTTAGTTTTTAAGACAAGATAACTTGGTTTGCCACCATTTGTATGGTAGTATTTTTATGGGACAAAATCTTAAATTATTTAAACATATGATTAAAAAAATAGTAATCCTGTCTGAGCTATCAGTATACTGGCGGGATACCAGCAAGTTATGATTGGTGAGAAAGAAGACAGGTCAATTGATGCATCCTGAGAAATTCATCAGGAAATAATCAAGATGTTATCCAGGGGACACCACACAGAGGTCAATCTCAGAGGTTAATTTATTAAAAATGGGACTACTAGTTCCCATTGCTAATAATGTCCCTCCCCTAGGGAAGAACTTTTTTATATTTTTTTTTTATACAACTTAGAATGGCAAACAAGCTGACGGCCCACCTGATGGAAAGTGGTAACCATCGTCTATAGACATGAGCAGTACCATGGACATAACAGAGTATACTGTTTCACCAATGATACCCCCGATGCATTGCCATTCCTGAGGACTCAGGTGTTATTCCTCTGTACCCAGTAAATTCATGCCATATCCCACCCTTCAAACCGAAACACAGCTGCTTCACGGTTGAAACACAAATGGGACAGAGGTACCCAAGCAATCAACTTTTGTACTTTTTTTACTACTTTTTCTAATGGATGATAATGGAATAGTAAGCCTACTCATGCTATCTGTATATGCTGGTGAGGTTTTGGAGGTTAATAAATGAGAATGAAAGTAGGGCAATACACACATTGTGACTAATTTAACAAGATTTAACCAGTGTTTACCAGGAGGAACTGTGTAGAGGTCAACCTGATGAGGTATATTACTAGCAACATGGCTGTTAAATACCACTACTTACAAGCCCCCCCCCCCCACCCCAAGGTGGAACTATCAAAAGGAATGATCTTCAGCCACCTGCCACCTATTTATTTTATTTATTTATTCATTAGTACAAATATGTGTACATGGCAGACTTAATGCTAAAAGCATTCTCTCCCAGTCAACCATAGGGTTGTATTCACTGTTTTTAGTACATTTGAAATAATTGCTTCAACTCTTAGGGGGCATTGGCCTCCTAAAAAACATGTATACATACTGTTAGGCTCGTCTTTGTAAACCTTCTCTCGGATCCTGGGATAGACACCGAGCAATTCTGAATTGGGCACATACCTAATGTTGACAAATCCTCTAGAAGCGCCCGATAGCGAACTTTTCTATTGTGGCTGCTCATACTTATACGTGAATTTTGTGTCTCATTGGTAGACATTTTAATTTTGTTACTAATAAATTCACTGTAAAATTTAATTTTCAGAAAACTTAAAACTTAAGATGAAAAGAAAGAAACGAAAAAATAAATATGAAAATAGCGCGAACGGGGACAATTTATTCGAATATTCGAAAATCAAAAATGACATTTAAGAAAATAAATGATATAAAAATGACTGATTGACAGCCTACTAATCTACAAACTGACACTTAATTAACTTCCTGATGTAACGCTATTTTCTTTTCCCACATATAATTAAAATCCCATTTTCAAGGGAATAAGTAAATCTAATATATAAAATTCTCGTGTCACGGTATTTATTACCAAACTCCTTCGAAACAGCTTTACCGATTTTCATGAAAATTTGTGTGCATATTGGGTAGGTCTGAGAATCGGCCAACATCTATTTTTAATTCCGCTCAATGATAGGGGTAACCTACCCCTAAATTTTTTTTTTATTTCTTTGACAAAGTTTTTCATTTTATTTTAATATGATTTAGCATTGAAAATACATACAACTTCAAATTTTCACCCTTTTACGATCAATCCCTGTTTTTTAATGGCAATTTCTATATTTAATTTTTCAGTGCAACTCTCATGTTAATTTTAATCAACTTTTGTACAAAGTCTCCCTCTAGTTTGTTTATTTTTTAATTGCCATAATTATTAGTAGAAATATAAAAAAAAATATTGTCGATGTATAGATAGCTATCAAGAATTGTAATTTAATATATATTTGTTATTTTAAATAATTTATTAACATAAATAAAGTATACTTTAATTGCCTACAACACATAGCGATTTTTGATTGAACTAAAAAAATATTTTCTGACAATAATGTATATGTCAAAACAACGTTTGCAGGGTCAGCTAGTATTTTATAAAAGTAAGTTGCATAATTGAAACGATAATAAATTGCTTCAATAAGATTTCTTATTATAATTTAATAATAATATATGCTATATTATTAAAGGTTTGTGGCGTATTACTGGCCATCACAATACGCCTTTTATATAACTGGCCATCATATTCCGCCTTTCATATTTTTATATTTCTATTATTCTTATGTTTTTACAATTCTGTCTTTATTAGTTTTTGTTTTCCTACCGATGGAGCCGTGATAAAAGAGAACTACAATATTTAAGCATTTTTATTATCAATCCGTTTCTCTTAAGGTTTTTAATTAAAGAAGATAACTCGATTTTTTTATTTGAACGAACATATTCTAACATATTTGAAAAGTTCTTCTAAATTATTATATTTTATTTAAGTCACAGAGAAAAAATTACTACTACTATTTAAATGGCAGAGTCGTCCTACATGATCACAAGCCAAATAAATGTTAAGATACTATAAGTAAATAATTAAAATTATATTGAATTCCTTGCATGCGAAATTCGTTTGTTACAAAGCTATTGATGTAAACTGCAGAAAACAATAGTCAATTTATTTATAATATAATATATTATCAATTCAATCAAAATATACAAAACATATTTATTTTATTTTTTATTAAAGAAAACCCAACGAATCGAAAATTTCATAATAAGAAAAGACAGTAAAGACAAAAAACAAATTACAGGTTTTTACAAATAAAAACAAGATTTAACTAATGCACATGACATCCATAATACTTGTAAAAGAATTATTTAAAAAACAGTAGGTACATGTTAAACAGTATATATAATATTATCGTCAAAAATAATTTTAATCACTTTTTTTCTTTAAAGGTAATTTAAAAATTGTTATGGTATCCCTGACAGCGAATTTCGTGGTGATAATGAAATGACAATGAAGTGCGCGGCAAATCGTAACATAAAAGACAATGCTTTTAATTTTTAAAAACTTAAGATAATTACAATAAATGTAAGATTTTTATACAAAATGACCTATATTACACATTAGATAATAATAATAAATTCTCCAAAGCAACGTGTATAGTGATTGGTGTTAGTGACGTTTGTAAGAAATCAGTGAGGTTATTTCGATTTTATAAGGATTTTCTAGAGTTAAATGGATTTAGCACCAGCTCAAGAAGTCACAGAGCTGCTAAAACAATGGGAGGAGCAGCACACATCGCCTCTTTACGATCCTATACCAACATTGACGAGGTAAATCATCACTTTTGTTCATAGATTCTCACCAAATGTCAACGTCTCGATGCATAGCACATTGTAATTTTGGTCACCGTATGTTCCCGGCGCCGCGACACCAAATTATTGCATAACGTTTAAAATAAACGTGTAATTAATAAAAAAAAAAAATGTTTTTTAATAATCATTTCTATTTTTAATTTTTTTTACATAATTTTTTTCCTTTTTAAATTTAGTACTAATCAACTTTGTTGTCAACCAGTTATAAATTATGTACATTGGAATATATCAAACAATATAATCATATGTATTTCAAGTACAGCAAAGAGAAATCCTTACTTATATTTGAATACAGTGAATACTCTTTATAAGTAGTCTCTCTATAAGCAACATTTTTTTATATTTTATTTATTTTACTCAGTAAAAGAAATAAGTAAAAATATTTTTCAGATGACAATTTTTTTTATACTCCTTTTTTATTGAAAGTGATTCAAATGAGTTGCTTACATAGAGTGTTCACTGTACCTCGTATTTTAATTTCAATCTTTTAAAACTAAATAGATTATTATAAAATTTGCACAGTCCCAGAAAGGACATTTCTATTTTTTTCTGTTTATCACATAATACCAAATATTCTATTAATCTTATAATTACTAAACAAATTAATAATAACTAATTTTTGTTCTATAAAAAAAAAAACTAATTTCGTACGATGGTAGAAAGTGGCTGTGGGCATCATATTGAACAATTCCTCTGAGCACAATACATTGTATAGGCGGTATAAACTTACATACTTCATCTGATATACTCATTCTTAATTTTGTCCATCCACAGCCTTCCCAATTTGTATGTCAAACAATATTATACGTTTGTCCGTTTTCTCATCTTAGGGGTGGAATTTCCAATAACTTTAAAATACATATTTATCATTTCAATCAAGAAACACAAATAATGAAATTCAAGCAAATCCTACCATTTATTTTATTTTTATTTTCTACCCCATTTCTTCAGTTTTGAGGTTGACTTTTTTAAAATGATAGAATACGTGTATGTGTATGAAATTTCAACCTCTATTTCATCCTTGTAGGGAGTACATTTATAAAAACCCTGATTATATTTATCTTGATCTATTTATTATATTTATGTTTATGTATTATTATTTATATTATATATGTATATGTATTGTAATCTTATTTTTATATTTAAAATATTTTGCATTTTCTTTGATTCCTTTTATGCATTTACTGTGTCTGACTTGCGCCATCTACCGTTCTCTCTGTACTTATCCATTCTTTATGCCAGGTTGTCTGTAAGAGATTGCTTTTAATGATAAGGCTGGCTTTTGTATATACACATTCTGTATAAATACTCCTTGTGTACATCTCTACTGTGCGCAATAAAGAGTTTATTATTATTATATTATTTATTTCTAATAAGAAGCTTGTATATAAAATGCTTCTAATTTTGAGAATGAGTAAATCAGTCGGAGTAAACAATTTTATATTTATTTATTTATTATAAACCAAAGGCCTTACAGTTAATAATTACAGAATAGTGTTTAAAATATTAATTCTTTTGTGAATAGAACATAAACCATTCTTTTTTTTTATACAACTTAGAATGGCACACAATCTGATGACCCACCTGATGGGAAGTGGTAACCGTCGCCTATAGACATGAGCAGTACCATGGACATAACAGAGTATACTGTTTCGCCCATGATACCCCCCATGTGTTGCCATTCCTGAGGCTCAGATGTTATACCTCTGTATCCTGTAAATTCACTGCCATATCCCACTCTTCAAACTTAAATAGCTATGTAAACACAACTGCTTCATAGTTGAAACACAAATGGGACAGAGGTACCCAAGCAAAATTAGTTTTAAATCAAAACTGTCAAGATTGAAGTCAGTTTTTTTTTATGAAAGTTTTTATTTATAACAATGACATAGACTTTTTATTCTCATTTTGGTGAAATTATAAAAAAATATTTCTAAATACTACCAGATACTGGAGTGTCACAAGGAACTGGCAAGACAAGACAGAAAACTCAAAAACAAATAATAATTTGACAAAATATTTAGTAAAAATAAGGACGAATATATAACTGGAAGACACAAGAATGGCAATAAGATAATCATAGAAAAATAATAATTTATAAATAATAAAAAAGAATAAATGAAAATTATTTTGTATTACTTAGTAAATTAATTTTAATTTATTTTTCCAATAGCTCTTATGCTTTTTGAGTAAAAATGTAAACTTTGTAGAATCACTTTGTTGTCCATCTCAATCATTCCATCCATTAGTCCGTCTCAAGTCTGTAATCTCTTGAAGCTGTGAAAAAATAAAATTTCTAAGTAAATGCAATAAAAATATTGCTGTTTATATATTTTGATGTATATATTTTGACATTTCCAAAGGAATCAGAACCTGTAGGGTACTTTTGATCTCGAATCTTAAAATTTGGCAAGAAGCAATGTGCTACAATAGAGGTAAAGGAAAAAAACTATATTTATTTATTGTACAGAACCCTCGATGCGCGTCCCACTCACTCTTGGCCAGTTTTTTATTTTATATGCTGTATCATGACTGGGCCCTAATAGAGACATTTCCAGCAGTTCATATTTTTACTTTTACATCCACCAGGATAGCAGAAATAATAGAAGCGGAGACAGAGAACTTCATGAAGAAGGACCCAGACCCATTCGACGAGCGGCACCCGTCGCGGACCGACCCCGAGTGTGCTCTAGGACACGCGCTCAAAGTCATGTTCAAGAAGGACAACTTCATGACTAAGGTATTTGTCTTTCTTCATCATCATCATCATCATCATCACTGAACATAAGCCTCCTTTAGGGGGATTTACCAGCAGTTACCATTCTCGGCAAGCGGATCGGCAACCGCAGTTAAACTTTAGAGATGTTTCACTCTGTTATGTCCACGGTACTGCTCATGTCTATAGGCGACGGTTACCACTTTACATCAGGTGGGACGTCAGCTTGTTTGCCATTTTGAGTTACAATTTTTTTTTTTGTAATGGATGATAATGAAATGGTAACCCCTCCTGCGCTATCGGTATACACTGGCAGGGCACCAGTGAGGGGTACGGACTATCAGTCCCATTGCTAGCAATATTCCCCATAAGTTGGACCTCTACGTGGTCCCTACTGAAAACCAGCGTGATGAATTCCTTGTATATTCATTACGATGGGCTAACTGACCTGCCTTTTCATTCTCACCTATCACCCCTCACTGGTGCTCCACCAGCGTATACCGTTAGCGCAGACGGCTACCATTCCATTATAATCTATAAAAAAAAATAGGTTTACGAGAAATGACGTCATTATGCATAAGGGGGTAAGTGTGCAAATCGAGCTCGCACTTGACCATTTTATTAATTTATGTTAGCTGGCAACCCCATTAACTTCCTAACACATTTGTTTTCCAGCTAGTGAACGATTATGTACGCGACACGTACTACTCGCGTCAGAACATAACGGGCCGCGACGTGCACAAGCTGAATGTGGCGGCCTGCCGGCTCACGCTCGACCTGATGCCCGGCCTCGAGATGAGCGTCGTGTTCCAGGTACAGTGCACGTCATATAAAATATTAGGATAAGTTTTAAATCAGACTATACTCTTTTTTTTTTGTATGAAATGAAATGAATTTATTTTACTAGAATGTAGGTAGTTTTAGATGAAAGAAGTTTACATTTCCCTATATTAATTTCCTTAAATTAAAATATATATTGCATTTGAACAAAAGATACAGCGATTAGTTTAACAAGTTGTTAGCAAAGGTGGGCTTGTCTCTAAAAGAGATCTCTTGCAGCCAACCCAGGGCAGTTAGAGAGAAATAATTAATTTCCAGCCCAGTTTAATAATTGTCTCACTTCGTGACGATAATATTAACAGGATAGTACACTTTAATTGGTATGTTATTACGAGTACATATAAAACTAAAACAGTGTTACTGGTTTGTGTAAAGCAGCTATTTTATCCCTCAGATCCCTTGCTGCAGGGATAACAGAGTGAGTGAACCTATTGGAGGCATACTAATAAATTTATTGTTATCATACACACATACACACACACACACACATGCATATACATACACGCAAGCACATACGCACACACGCACGCACATGCATACACACACGAACGCACATACACACACGAACGCACATACACACACATGCACATACACACACACACGCACATACACACACATGCACATACACACACACACGCACATGCACACACACGCACATACACACACACGAACGCACATACACACACATACACACGCACACGTTCACACATGCGCGCACGCACGCACGGTCACTCACGTGGCTACACGCATACACACTCATGTACCCTCATGCGTACATACGCACGCGCACACATACTTAATTCAAATTCAATAAGTGTTGCTATATGCAAGAAAAATTTATTCTTAAAAATTAGAAAATATATTTTTAACTAGTTTTTTCCAATAATAGTTAGTTATAAATAGTTAGTTCCAATACTTTGTATGCGTGAATTTCAGAAGTAAGGGAAACCAATGAAATGACACTACAATGGATTTTAAGTCAGATCTTGAGGAACAGAACTGTGAAAACCGCATCTTATTGTGTGCCGTAGTTTTTACGTGATATCAGAATAAACATACAGACAAACAAAATTTTTTTTTTTGATGTGTGAAAATGGAATTGTAACCTCGCCTGCGCTAGCTGGATATGCTGGCGGAGCACCAGTGATATAGATGAGAATGAAAACAGGCCAGTTAGCCAATCATGATGAATTCATCAGGAATTAACCATGATAGTTTCCAGGGGGGACCGCGAGGAGGTCGACCTGGTTGGGTATATTGCTAGCAATGAGATTCTCAGTCTCCATTGTTAGTAAACAATCCCTTTCCCCCTGACAAACAAAATAAAAAAAAAATGCTTCTATTGGCTAGGATTGGCGCTGCGTTCATATATTTAATGGATGGTATAGGTGAAGATGAAAACAGGGGGCCTACCATGAATAATTTTCCGAAATTTCGGGCACGAACGAAACAGAAATTTGATGTTAAAAATACATAATACATGCCGTTTAAAATTATTAAAAATGTTAAAATATCATTCCTCTGGATTAAGGGTACGAACAAAAACACGAAATTGAGCACGAAAATTCGAAATTTCATTTCATGGTAGACCACCAGGCCAGTTGGCCCATCGTGGCACAATAATTAACCACGATGGTTGCCTGGGGGAGCCGTGTGGAGGTCGACCTTACAGGGTATATTGCTAGCAATGAGACTGGTAAACCGTAATACTAACAATCTCCCCCCCCCCTCCCCCTCTCTCTCATATTTGTATTAAGTAGGATAACACTTGATTGTTACAGGACAACGAGGCGTTGATTCATCGGCTAGTGAATTGGGCGAGTAACTCGCCCGAGCCGCTGCAGTGTTACGCGACCGGACTGCTCGCCGCCGCCATGGAGGTGCAGGAAATAGCCACGAATTTTAGGTAAATAAACTAATAGATAGATACTCTATTGTTTCCTCCTAGAGCAGTGTTTCCCAACCTTTTTTCGAACATTTCTAAAATTTTTATGCCCCCATACATAATTTTTCCCGACAAAGTTTACTTGACTACTCTAATCGCCCAGTTGATATTTTGGTAACGTCAAACGAAATTATACCTAATAGAAATTTACAGCATTTTTTTTTTAATTCACTTTTTTTTGTTAAATTTGGCAGCAATATCTTATTTATACTTTTTTTTTTTTTTTTTTTATTTATACAACTTAGAATGGCAAACAAGCTGACGGCCCACATGATGGAAAGTGGTAACCGTCGCCTATAGACATGAGCAGTACCATAGACATAACAGAGTATACTGTTTCGCCCATGATACCCCCCATGCGTTGCCATTCCTGAGGATTCAGGTGTTATTCCTCTGTACCCAGTAAATTCACGCCATATCCCACCCTTCAAACCGAAACACAGCCATGCGAACACAACTGCTTCGCGGTTGAAACACGAATGGGACAGAGGTACCCAAGCAATCGCCTTTTGTACAAAGTCTCCCTCTGGTAAAACCTCTGGTTGGTATCTACTCGTAGCATTGCATTTAAATGGCACAGTGCAAGAGGATTAAAATCGCTTCGAGTCCATTTTTTAAATGCCCCCCCCCCCCCTTAACTATCAAATTGCCCCCCAGTGGGGCGTGGGCCCCACGTTGGGAAACGCCGTCCTAGAGATTACAGTACTAAGCTTTTTTTATGGATGACAATGAAATGGTAACACCGCCTGCGCTATCGGTATACACTGGCGGGGCACCAGTAAGGGATGATCGGTGAGGATGAAAATGCTGGTCAGTTAGCCCATCGTGACGAAGTCAACCATAATTTAGTCACGATGGTTTCCATGGGGAACCGCGTGGAGGTCGACCTGATAGGATATATTATTAGCAATTTCGAAATTAGGTTGAAAATTCCATCTTATTCATTACAGGGATCTGAATGCAATGCTAGTACCGCTAATGCTAAGGAGACTACACGGGCTTAGGAATAAAGGACAAGACGAGAAAGTAAGTATAGACAAGTTTACTTTTTTAATCGTTTTCAAGGAAAAGGAGATTTTCCGTTGTTATATTTTTTTCTCAAACATGCTTGGAAATGTGACCATTATTTTGACAATCTTCTTCGAGATAAATCAAAATTGCCGTACTGGCCAGATACATGCGGGCAGCGGCTGACAAAAGTTGTATGAAAATCCATATCTGTCGTATTTTGCGGTCAGATAAATTACTAAGTAAATTCATATCGGTTCTGTAATTTAAAAATGGAATGTCCTTTTAATTCGAAACATGGCTACCAAGGAGATAACTAATAAAAGGTTTTATTTAAATTTCGAACTGGCTTGCAAATAGAAAGCTGTTTAGTGAAAAAAAAAAAACAAAGGAACATTATGGCGCGTGAAAAATTATTATTTTTCGTTTTTCGTCAATTGTGTGCCTCGGCTACGCCTCGGCCCACATTTGCACGTTCGTCCATCAATGCCTCAGTTGCTGGCCGCTGCAGTAATGTACTATTTATTCTTTCCCCTTTAATTTATTTATGTACACTTTATTGTGCTATTTCTAAAAATAATCATCATCGTCATATCAGCCTCTAACTGTCCACTGCTGAACATAAGCCTCCCCCTTGGAGGGTTTAACTAATAGTTGCCACGATTGGCAGGCGGAATGGCAACCATTAGATTGTAAACAGGAACGCTACTGCCGTTTCCTCGCCCTCCCTTAGTCGGCTCTTGCGACACGTACGGGAATGGAAGGGGGGGCCTATTCTATGCCGGGACCATGCGATAATAAAAACATTAAATATTAATGAGAAGCGATACAAAAGGCGGCCTTATCGTTAAGCAATCTCTTCTAAACAACTTTTGGATAGTGGACATGTTTATATCTTTTTTGTTTGTTACTTCATAACTCCGTCAGTTCTAAGCTCAAATTTGAAGGATTCTTTTTTTTTCTGAATGGATATAATATAGATTAGTTCCATAGAAGTTTCATTAAAATCGATACAGTAATTTAGTTCTTATTCTAGTTCATCATCTTGGTACCCTTAACCCAATTATTATTTGGGGTCTCCGTAATATGTTTTTTGTCCATATTACAAAAAGATTTGGCTTATAGTTTTACGACCGGCCACCTGCCTGACGTCAACCCTCTTTGGGAATGCATTTGTTGGTGGTTTCCGCCAACTATGGTATGGGGGAAAGGATTGAGGAAAAAAAGGAAGGGAACGTTGGAAATGCTTAAAGGAAGTTGGTAAATGAGAGGAATAAGGGACCTCTGTTGAGGTAAAGAAAGGGGCGGGGGGGGGGACACTGCAGTTGCGGAAAGGGCTGGGACACTGCAACGGCTCGGGATCGCATACCCGTATGCACTTATTCTAGAATCGGACAGATTTCTGATTAGACAGAGATCAGGATACCCCTGACGTTAGTTTTTATTAAAACACTACCTGGGTTTGTCACAATTGAATTTGTTTTTCTTGTAGGACAACCAACAATCTTTCTAAACATTTTGTTTCATTCGCAGGTAAATCAAAATTCAGCAACGCCACCGAACCAAACAAGACACTTTGCGAGGTTCGACAAGAAACGGAATAGTGAAGCCAAGTGCAACGGACCCACAGCTGATAGTAAAGGTTATTATATTTATTTTATAGAATTTAAAGTGACAAACAAACTGACAGATCACCTGTTGCAAGATGATCTACCTTCGTTCCCGGTTCCAATCGTTACCTCCTCTTTCCTAGGCGTCTTTGCTTAAACCAGTCTAGGGTGCTGAAGCTTCCCAGCTGTAAAACTTATTTTATGGGTAATTCATTTGCATTCCGTGCTGTGTAGAACTTCCCATGGGTATTTAAAATAAACCTTCTATTTATTCCTTCAAGAAATGACTACTTTCTTTCCTTGTATAAAAATAAGAGATATATAATTTATTTGCAAGCACACACATACAATATAGATAAACCACTTTTTGTATCCTAACATACACTGTTTTACATTCCAGAACGTGAAACAGAAGACAGCGGGGGCGGGGGGTGCGAGATGGCAGTGGACGAGACGCCGCCCTCCACTGCGACCACGCACAGGGATCCTGAAACGCCAGTCAAAACCTACAATTGTGAGTTTGCCTTTTTATAATATGGTTGAACACAACGATGGCCGGTTCATCCGTCATACTCGGGAACGGGTGCTTCTAGTAGGGACTGGTCTGTTCAGGAATGATTTATTGTTTTTTTTTTTTATCAATATGATGTGATGATTTATCAATATACACATATACATTTTATCAATATACGTATTGCAGTTAAAAATCTGAACCAGTTAAAAGTACTATTGACTAGCAAAATCAGTCAAAAGTACTTTTGACCGTATGCTTTAGTCAAATAACAGTTAAAAGTACCTAACCTAACCGCAAATTTGCAATCAAAAGTAACTAATAACCAATAATTTGTTAATGCAATTAGTGCGGGGGGAAAATGTAACCAAACTGTACTGGAATGGGGGGATAGGGATTGTTAATAATGGAGACTGAGAATCCCATTGCTAGCAATATTGGGTATATTGCTAGCCAGGTCGACCTCCTTGTGGTTCCCCCTGGAAACTATCATGCTTAATTCCTGATGAATTCATCATGATGGGCTAACTGGCCTGTTTTCATTCTCGTCTATCACCCTTCACTGGTGCTCCGCCAGCGTATCCCGTTAGCGCAGGCGGGGTTACCATACCATTTTCACCCATCAAAAAAAAAAACTGTACTGGAATCAATATCAATAGGAGCGCCCAGTAACTACGTGCGAGCACGTCGACGGCACTTATTCGATGTTCCATTACGAAGAACAGAGTTCGCTAAGCAGGCTCCCCTCTCTTGCATTGAAACTGCTCAATGATATTTTGAGCCAGTATCCGCAATTGGATGTATTTGCCTCCAACTTGCTGGAGTTTCGTCGGGTGACCACAGAGTATATGTGTTCAGACGTTTTTTGTTTTAGTTAAATCTTTTTATATTATTTATATTATTTTTTGTTTAATATTCCTTTTTATATGTTATTGTACTCATGCTTTCCTGGGTGAGCGTATTGGAAGACTGTAAGGCTCACCCAGTGGACGTAATAAATAAATAAATAAAAAATAAATAAGATTTTGCTAGTCAATAGTACTTTTGACTGGTTAAGAGTCTTGACTGCAACATATACATGTTCCAATGTCGTATTTGTTCGGAAATATTTCTGATGGGAGTTGGTTCACGTATCTTCGGTCTCATGAATATCTATCAACGCAGTAGACCTTTGTACCTTACCCTCCGAGCAGGCGAGGTTACCATTGTAGAGAGGTAAGGTAAGGGAAAGGCATTGTTAGTAATGGGGTCTAACAGGGTTGAAACACGAATGGGACAGAGGTACCTAAGCAATCGACTTTTGTACAAAGTCTCCCTCTGGTAATTTTTATTCTGTTCTTTCCCTTGATTGTCGTAAGAGACGACTAAGGGAACTTAATGGCCGAGATTTGAGCAGCAGCGTCCCTCTTAAAACGTCAAAAACCTAACTGCGATTGGCAACCCGCCTGCCAAGCGTGGCAATTAGCAAAACTCCCCAATGGGGGGAGGCCTATGGTCAGTAGTGGACGGATAAGGGCTGATATGATAGCGATGATGCATGTGTTTAGTACTGGAAATAATGTTTAACATTATATGTATACTTGCGCAGGTATACCATCCTCCCCCCCGGAACAGCACTGGGGCATGATGTCCCCGCCTCCGCGGCCGCCTCCCCCCGCGACTGCCCCTCCGCCGCCGCACGAGACCTCCTCCAACTCCAGCTGGCTCGAAATGGAAACATATGTCATAGGTATATAGTTATACATATTTTTTAAAATTTTTAGGCCTTTTACCTTCTTCAGGTATATCTTTAATGGATGATAATGGAATGGTAACCCCGCCTGCGCTATCGGTATACGCTGGCGGGACACCAGTGAGGAATGATAGGTGAGGATGAAAACCGATCAGTTAACCCATTGTGACGAATTCAGCGATAAATTTGTCACGATGATTTTTAGGGGGACCGCGTGGAGGTCGACCCGATAGGGTATATTGATAGCAATGGGGACTAAAATAAAAAAAAAGAGGTTGGGGGATTGTTAGTAATTTAGGGGATAAATTACTAGCAATCCCCCAACCTCTTTTTTTTTATTATTACAATCCGTACGAAGCCGGGGCAGGTCACTAGTTATTTAATAATATTTAAATTTCAAAAAAACATTTCAGGCAATATACAAATACATCCTCCTACCGATGCGACCAAACAGATGCTAATATTGAGGTACCTGACACCAATGGGCGAATACCAGGAGGTAAGTGGCTTCTGCAAGCATAGACTTGTTTGAGAATCGTATGTAAACACATCTGTGTTTCGTATGATGACACCTAGTTCTCCTAGAGCTCCCTGCCGAGGTTTTCCCAAGAGACAGCAGCATGGGGCTCTTCAAAAGGGCGGTAAAGAAGTTTCTTCAGGGTCGGCAACGCGCGCGTAATACCTCTGGTATTGCAGGCGTTCATAGGCTACGGTAACCGCTTACCATCAGGTGGGCCGTATACTTTTTTGCCACCTCAGTGGTATAAAAAAGTAGTTTAGTAAAATATTTACATATGCGTTTCTCCTCTCGCTTCCGACAATTGTTTCCACTTCATCCGGAAGTTGGAAATCTTCAGGGAGCGTTTATGCGCTCTGCTTCACGGTGTCTCGCTTCGCACTGTGCGTCGCACTCGCATAGCCGGTGATGACGTCCATTCTATTTGAATTTCCACGATAATATGTATGTATATGTATTTATGTGTGTAAGTTTTTATTTATTTATGTATTAATGTTATATTATATTATTTATAATATTAATATTATATTATTATTCATGTACTTTTATTATTTACATATGTAGGTGTATACGGCTGTTTTTATTGTATTTATTTATTCAATTTTTTACTTTGCATTATTTACTTTATCTTTAATTGTGCGGTTGTTACCCTTATACATTCTACAGTTTTCTTTCAGCTTCTCAAAGGTTGACTGTAAGAGATCCCTTTATGGGATAAGTCCGCCATTGTATATTAAATCATTTACCAGTTTTAATCTGAGTTATGTACAATAAAGATTTTTCAATACAATAATAAAATACAATGTTAATGCTATGTACTTATAGTAGTTTAATTAACAGATAATACGTGAGTAAATTAACTACAATACAGTATGACTCCCGTTAGTTATTTTTCAACAATTGTATTCCCCCTTCCTTTCCCATGGGTGTCTTAAGAGGTGACTAAGGAAGGGACGAGGAATGAGCACCAGCGTCCCTCTTAAAACATCTGTAAAAGCCTAGTTGCTGTTGCCAAGGTGGGTGGCTAGTAATATGTCCTATCAGGTCGACCTCCACGTGGTCCTCCCTGATAACCATCGTGCTGAATCCCATGTGTATTCATCACGATGGGCTAACTGACCTGCCTTTTTATTCTCACCTGTCTTCCCTCACTGGTGCCATTCCATTATCATACATTAAAAAAAATTGCTGTTGCCAACCCACCTGCCAAGCGTGGCAACTACTAGCAAGACTCCTCTTATGGGGAAGGCTTATGTCCAGCAATGTTTATGACACTTCTGAAATATATTTTTTTTTTATTCTAGTTCCTGTCGCACGTATTCGAACAGAACGCGCTGGGCCTGATCCTGGGCTACCTGAACGTGCGCGAGTCGAGGGACTCGCGGCTAGCGTTCGAAGCGCTCAAGTACCTCGCCGCGCTGCTCTGCCACAAGAAGTTCTCCATAGACTTCATCAACATGGGCGGACTTCAGGTGAGCACTCGATTACACTGCTAATACTCGTGTCAGGGGGAAAGGGATTGTTAGTAATAGGGTCTAATAGTCCCCATTGCTAGCGATATACCCTCTTAGGTCGACCTCCACGCGGTTCCCCTTGGAAACCATCATGTTTATTTCTTGTCGAATTCATCATCTTGGGCCAACTGACCTGCATTCATTCTCACCTATCATTTTCCACTGGTGCCTGGTTGGTGTATACTGATAGCGCGGGCGGGGTTACCATTCCATTTTCGCCCATTAAAAAAATACTCGTATCAGGGATGGGGGGGGGGGCAGTTAGTCAAGGGGTCTAACAGTCCCATTGCTAGCAGTATACCTTGTCAGGTCGACCTACACGCAGTCTGGACATCATCGTGACGTTAATTTCTGTCGTCCATCCCGGCCTTCTGACCTGCCTTCATCCTCACCTATCATCCCTCACTGGTGCCCCGCCGGTGTAAACCGTTAGCGCAGGTGGTGTTACAATTCCATTTTTACGCCGCCCATCGCTCTCAGCGTGATCATATCTTCTAGTTTTTTATTTTATACTACTCAGAATGGCAAACAAGCTGACGGTCCACCTGATGGAGAGTGGTAATCGTCCCCTATACACATTAGCAGTACCACCTAGACCTTTTTTTTGTGATGGGTGAAAATGGTTTGGTAGCCCCGCCTGCGCTAACAGAATACGCTGGCAAAACACCAGTGAAGGGTGATAGATGAGAATGAAAACAGGCCAGTTAGCCCATCATGATGAATTCATCAGGAATTAACCATGATAGTTTCCAGGGAGAACCGCGAGGAGGTCGACCTGGTTGGATATATTGCTAGCAATGCAATTCTCAATCTCCATTACTAACAATCCCTTTCTCCCCAACCATAGACCCTTTGGTTTATCGTATGTTTTTTTGATATTTTTTGTTTCGTCCAGAAATTCTTGGAGGTGCCCCGTCCGTCGGTGGCGGCTACGGGCGTGTCTATCTGTTTGTACTACCTGGCCTACTGCGAGGACGCTATGGAGCGGGTCTGCCTACTGCCGCGACGGATACTCGCCGACCTCGTCATGTAAGGACATATATCTTTTTAGCGACATCTATTGTCACAAATAACCTGAACACTTACTCCCAATATAAATAATGCTTGTACTACGGATATATATATATATATATATATATATATATATATATACTGAGGTTTTCCCAAGAGCCTACAGCATGGGGTTTTACTATCAGGTGGGCCGTAAGCTTGTTTGCTCAGTGCCTCAGTGTTGTTACCTCAGTGGTATAAAAAAAAAATTAACAAGAGATGGTGTCCCGCTCTATACCATTTATACAAGAAAGAATACCACGCCCTATGGAGAGAGCTAAGACCTAGTGACCTGGAGGTAGTTGGCCCCGGAGTTGGTACTGGGGCAAAGGGATTCCTACCTTACCTTCGTAAAAAGTCCCGGATTGATTTATTGAGCGATACTACATAACTGATAGATATACTGATAACCAGAGGGAGACTTTGTACAAAAGTCGTTTGCTTGGGTACCTCTGTCCCATTCGTGTCTCAACCGTGAAGCAGTTGTGTTTGCATGGCTGTGTTTCGGTTTGAAGGGTGGGATATGGCGTGAATTTACCGGGTACAGAGGAATAACACCTGAGTTCTCAGGAATGGCAACGCATGGGGGTTACCATGGGCGAAACAGTATACTCTGTTATGTCCATGGTACTCCTCATGTCTATAGGCGACGGTTACCACTTTCCATCAGGTGGACCGTCAGCTTGTTTGCCATTCTAAGTTGTATAAAAAAAATATACCTACTAACATAAAAGGTGATAGTTTTATACATTATAAATTAAGCCGTTATACAAACTGGTGCTAAAATCATAGACAAAGCTGGCTAGTTTTTAGTCACGTGACCTAAACCTGCCAAGTTTTTTAACTGGCTAGTTTGTGGTCACGTGACCTAGACCTGCCAAGTTTTTTAACTGGCTAGTTTGTGGTCACGTGACCTAGACCTGTCAAGTTTTTTAACTGGCTAGTTTGTGGTCACGTGACCTAGACCTGTCAAGTTTTTTAGCTGGCTAGTTTGTGGTCACGTGACCTAGAACTGCCAAGTTTTTTAACTGGCTAGTTTGTGGTCACGTGACCTAGACCTGCCAAGTTTTTTAACTGGCTAGTTTGTGGTCACGTGACCTAGACCTGCCAAGTTTTTTAACTGGCTAGTTTGTGGTCACGTGACCTAGACCTGTCAAGTTTTTAACTGGCTAGTTTGTGGTCACGTGACCTAGACCTGTCAAGTTTTTTAGCTGGCTAGTTTGTGGTCACGTGACCTAGACCTGCCAAGTTTTTTAACTGGCTAGTTTGTGGTCACGTGACCTAGACCTGCCAAGTTTTTTAACTGGCTAGTTTGTGGTCACGTGACCTAGACCTGCCAAGTTTTTTAACTGGCTAGTTTGTAGTCACGTGACCTAGACCTGCCAAGTTTTTTAACTGGCTAGTTTGTGGTCACGTGACCTAAACCTGCCAAGTTTTTTAACTGGCTAGTTTGTGGTCACGTGACCTAGACCTGCCAAGTTTTTTAACTGGCTAGTTTGTGGTCACGTGACCTAGACCTGCTAAGTTTTTTAACTGGCTAGTTTGTGGTCACGTGACCTAGACCTGCCAAGTTTTTTAACTGGCTAGTTTGTGGTCACGTGACCTAGACCTGCCAAGTTTTTTAACTGGCTAGTTTGTAGTCACGTGACCTAGACCTGCCAAGTTTTTTTAATTACAATTTAAAAAAAACAAATTCCAATTTTAAATAAAACAATCATGACTAATATTGTGTATTGTAGGTATGCGCTATGGCTGCTCGAGTGCTCGCATGACTCCGGCCGCTGCCACGCGACCATGTTCTTCGGGCTGTCCTTCCAATTTAGGGTCATACTCGAGGAGTTTGACAACCAGGTCGGTGTTCGAAATTCGAAAAATTTTTGTTTTTTTTTTATTAAGAGCATTAATCACTTTTTCTAGTCGAGGAATGGGCAGCAGTGTACCTAACAGCGGTTGCTGAACCGCGTCAAGCTCAGCAATTACAGCCAGAATTCCTCAAGGGAGAGGCTTTTTTTTGATGGGTGAAAATGGTATGGTATGGGGGTTACCATGGGCGAAACAGTATACTCTGTTATGTCCATGGTACTGCTCATTTTTATAGGCGACGGTTTCCACTTTCCACCAGGTGGGCCGTCAGCTTGTTTGCCATTCTAAGTTGTATAAAAAAAAAGGGACGGACAGACGGAAAGCGACTTTGTTTTATACTATGTAATGATATAGAACGTACGAACATATAGAATAATGTACCTACAAAAATTGTATTTGAAAAATCCCAAAGCAAAACACTTATACAATAATCTTATCTTATATTCGCATATGGGGTTCAGCTAAGCCGTTGCACGTCGACCCATACGGATCTTTTGTGCTTCCCCCTGCCTTATACCATCATTTCATAGATCCTATGTGTTACCCTAACGATATCCCGCGGTTTAAGATATCGGTACTCCCCTGGATGTGGATAAGCCGTTCCCAGTAGACTCATGCGCATATATACAATAATACAGTTACTAGCGATATATTTACATGCTACATATTCTGTGATAAACTTTCCTTTTTAATAAATTATTATTTTTATTTCCCCCAGGACGGTCTTCGCAAGCTGTACAACGTGGTTTCGACGCTGCCGATCCTGGGCGGCGAGGACGAAGAGCTGCCCGTGTCGGAGGATGAGACGTGCGCCGCCAGGCAGATCGTGCGACACGTCGCCGTCGCGCTCAAGAGGTGCGTCCTCTCGTCATCGTCATCACGACTCCATTACATGATGATATTACAATCGACTTATGTTATGCAGCTTAGCTCATAAAGGACCTGCCCCCCAACTAGGGGGGGGGGGAAGGGATTATTATTAGTAGTAATGGAGTCTAATAGCCTCATTGCTAGCAATATTGGGTATATTGCTAACCAGGTCGACCTCCTCGCGGTTCTCCTTGGAAACTATCATGGTTAATTCCTGATAAATTCATCATGATGGGCTAACTGGCCTGTTTTCATTCTCATCTATCACCCTTCACTGGTGCTCCGTCAGCGTATCCCATTAGCGCAGGCGGGGTGACCATACCATTTTCACCCATAAAAAAATACTCTATTTGGTTAACTTCCACGCGTTTCTTCTTGGAAACTATCCTGGTTAATTCTTATGGTCACAGTGAGCTAACTGACATATTCTCACGTTTTTTTTATGCAAATTAGAATGGTAAACAAGCTGACGGCCCACCTGATGGAAAGTGGTAACCGTCGCCTATAGACATGAGCAGTACCATAGACATAACAGAGTATACTGTTTCGCCCATTATATATACCTTGACATGATGTTTTTTATCACTAGTGGAGCACTTTTTAAATTATTTATTTAAACTTAATGCACAGTGAAACTGTACATATGGCGGACTTAACACCGGACGGTGTTCTCTACCAGTCAACCATTGGGCGAACCGAGAAATAAGTAGGCGGTGCATTATTGAATAGAGGAAACGTAATCATCAATCGGAAACATTTAGAATTCTTCAAATGTTTTTGAAAATTGACAAACATTTGCGACGTACAACGCGGTTTCAGAGATGCTTTCTCCCACGAACGCTCAGGTTATGGAATGAGCTCCCTGCCGAGGTTTTCCCAAGAGACTACAGCATGGGGTTCTTCAAAAGGGGGGTAAAGAGGTTTCTTCAGGGTCGGCAACGCGCGCGTAATACCTCTGGTAATGCAGGCGTTCATAGGCTACGGTAACCGCTTACCATCAGGTGGGCCGTATGCTTGTTTGCCACCTCAGTGGTATAAAAAAAAAACGTTGCCACACTTAATTAGAAATGCTCCTTACAGTCTGTATTTGTTTGTGTCGCAGGTACTTGGAGGCGCACCTGCGACTACGGGCGGCCCAAGTCGCTCGTCAACAGGGCGACAACATACCAGAACCACCTCCTTACAAGGTAAGTCCTTCGACAGTTCCTGTTTTACTATTTTTTTTTTATTTTTTTATTCATCAATAATATAGATATGGCTGTGAATTTACAAGGTACAGAGGAATAACACTTGAGTACTCAGGAATGGCAACGCATGGGGGGTATCATGGGCGAAACAGTATACTCTGTTACGTCCATGGTACTGCTCATGTTTATAGGCGACGGTTACCACTTTTTATCAGGTGGACCGTCAGTTTGACGTCAGTAGGTTAGGTATATTGCTAGTAATGGGATTTTTAGTCTCCATTACTAACAATACCTTCCCCCTCCCCCCCCCCCCCTATTGTTACATCTAATTTGTATATAACAATTGCAGGCGTCGAAGTCATCTCCAGAGGAGATACAGGAGCAAATAGAGCTGCTGCAAAGCGTGGCGTGGTCCCGCTGGGCGCCCGTGGACGAGCTGGTCGAGCTGGGCGGTATCTCGCTCCTCCTCCAGGTGGTGGGGCTCGCGTACGAGTGGAACTTCAACGGCAGGTACGCGTTTTTTTTTTTTTTAATAAAACCTATAGTTGTCTATGGCTCCATAGACATGAACAGCACCATCGATATTATAGAATATACTGTATAAATATACTGTCAAAGGCTGGCAACGCACAAGCAACTCCTCTCATGTTGCAGGTGTTTATGGGTGACGGTAGCCGCTTACCATCAGGTGGACCGTCTGCTTATTTGCCTCCCTAACAATAAAACAAAACTACCCTATACATGAGGTGTATTCCTCAACATAGTTCTTAAGAATGGCAACCCTTAAACGAATTAACCATCTCAATTAATTCTTATGGAATTAATCACGATGGGCTAACTAGTCTGCTTTCTTCCTTACTTATCAGCGCTCACCGGAACCTGCCAACGTATAACGAGATACCATTCCATTATCATATTTGTCCAGGTCGGAGACGGTCCGGTCGGCCCTCGATGTGGTGTCTGTGTGCTGCGTGGCGCCGCGCGTTCAGCTGCTGCTCACCGAGAAGCTGGACATGCGCGATGCCGAGCTGACCACGGGCGTCAACATCGTACTAGGTAACACGCACGTAAACACACGAATGCATAAACATGCACACACACGTACGTAAGTGCATGCGTGCATATACAACATGCACTCACACACATATACGCACATACACGATGTGTGTGTGCGTGTGTGCGTACATATGCAAGCACGTACTTACATGAACGAGATGTTTATTTATTTATAAAAGCCATATATATATATATATATATATATATATATATATATATATATATATATATATATATATATATATATATATATAATGTTATTAGTAAGTAAAAGAGAAAAACTACTATTAAAAAATGCTTAAATCTAAGTTTGAACAAAATAAATTTTACTCTTCACTACCAAGCTTAAGGCCATATGAACACATCAATTAAAGGTGTATACAGCTTTCATAGATAAGCGTCAATGTACACTAAGTAACAATTATACAACTAGAAAAGACCTAACTACCAATCCATATTATTAATAAGCCTAGTACTAAAGAATTACCAAAGATGTCGATATCATGGTCAACGTTTACGACTTTATTATGGGATGATAACATTCTGTCGAGGGGAGAATTGGATCCTAAGTTAGTACGACAAGCGTATGTTAAGAAATATACAGTTGTTTGTTTGTATAAACTTTATTGTACATTCATGTATTAAACACATAATAGGTTATAAAAAGAAAACAAAGTACTTCCGTTTTGTTTGATTACTAGTCAATATTAATTTTGTTGTCTCTCATATTGCTATTTTTTTGTATAAAAACTAATAAAGCCCATAGACAAATGTCCTTAAAGAATATATATATTACTGATTATATGTTGTGTTATGTGTCATTACAGGCGCCGCGGACGGTGAAATCGTACCGGAACCGGAAGTGCAGAAGGCAGCGCTCAACGTGCTCGTCAACTGCGTATGCGCACCCGTACACAGGGTATGATTGTTTATTTGTTAGCTATACAAGCGACATCTGTTGTGTGATCGGGATACATATACTGCTTGGATTATATAGATAGAGTGTCTCCATACAAATGCTTTGAGAAAAACGAGTCAACTTTTTCATACAATTTTGTGTGATAAATACATTATATTAGAAACCTCTAAAATTATCAATGTTTCTCTACAATATTATGCATGTATTATACATATAAACCTTCCTTTTGAATCACTATCCATTAAAAAAAACCGCATCAAAATCCGTTGCGTAGTTTTAAACATCTAAGCATACAGACAGACAGACGGGAAGCGACTTTGTTTTATACTGTGTAGTGATATAGAATACTGATAAAAACAAATGTGTCAGCTAATTTGACAATTAGCTGATAAAAAGTATTTTTTTTAATGGGTGATAATGGAATGGTAACCCCACCCCGCCTGCGCTATCGGTATACGCTGGCGGGGCACTAGTGAGGGATGATAGGTGAGGATGAAGCAGGTCAGTTGGCCCGTCGTGACCAATTCAACAAGAATTGTTCACGATAGTTTCCAGGTTGACCCGTTTTTTTGAGGCTCGATGCTTTATCTATATAATCTCGGGTGACTGGTATAAGAAAACTCTACAGCCATCTAATGGCTATAGCAACGCTAGTCGCCAATACAAACAATCCTTACCCCCATCTCATTGTCGAGTCAAAAATTTGAATTGACACAAAATTTGACAAGCAGGCACGTCGATGAATCTTGAACTGTATTTACAGTTCATAAAGTCTAATTTCCATTAACATCTCGTGTTCTCTACGAGCGAGCACGTTGATCAGTCTTGAGCTCTATGTACCATCCATAAAGTCTCATTTCCACCAAAGTAAAATTATTTTATAATCAAGTGAATTTAATTACATTTTTGATTAGTCATCTTTTATGAATTAACCACTCAGTTTCAAATGCAATATCGGCTGAGAAGAACGTGCAAGAAACACAACTTTTGCTTTACTACTTACATACCGTGATGTTTACAGGCGGACTCGACCAGTCTTGAGCTCTGTGTACTGGCCATAAAGTCTAATTTTCATTGACGTGTCGCATTATCTAGTAAGCGGGCACCTCCACCGGTCTTGAGCTCTGCGTATCGTTTATAAAGTCTAATATCCACTGTCATTCCGTATTATCTACAGACTGGCTCGTCGACCAATCTTGAACTCTATGCTCTATCCATAAAGTGTAATTTACACTAACATCTCGTACTGTCTACAGGCAGGTGCGTCAACCAGTTTTGACCTCTATGTGTCGTCCATAAAGTCCAATTTCCATTAACATTCCGTGTTGTCTACAGGCGGGCACGTCGACCAGTCGTTTCTCGGTGGGCGGCGGTGGCCGCAAGCGGACCGTGCTCAAATCATACGAGGACGTCATTCAGAAGGTGTGGGAGAGCGTGCGTACCAACAACGGCATCATGGTTTGTATCATCAGTTTGTATCACCATATCGGACGTCATCTCTCCACTGCTCAATATATGCCTCCCCTATACACTGACATAAGGATTGGGGTCATTCCTTGTGGCAGTTTACAATTTTTCCATTATTTGCCATGTTTGGCAAGTGGGTTGTTAACCGCAGTTTGACTTTTAGTGATGTTTTAAAAGGAGCACCGCTCGAACTCTGAAGGGAACTTAACAGTCGATCCTTGGACTATTAAGTTTCCTTAGTCGCCTCTTACGACATCCACGAGAAAGGAAAGGGAAGGCCCATGCTACATGCCAGTGTTATTAGCGTCATGGTTGATATACCTCAGAGTTATACCTTTTCATTCATTCATGCCTTCATTTATTCATTCAAATCAAAAATGAAAAAGGAATTACAAATTTAAACACGTGCAAAAAGTGCGTGGACAAAATGGCAGTCGGAGATTGACGGATATTATCTTGACGGATGGGTATTGTAAAGTAACACTAAATTAGGCATTTTCAAGCAAATTAATAGATCACTGCTCAGAGCCTAGTGTTAACAAATGTGCGTGGGCGAATAGCGGTCGGAGATTGACGGCTAATATGAACGGTTATAGAACTTCTTGTAATAACAATAGTAGTCAATATTCGAGTGTCCAAAATAAAAAAAAAAAAAAGAAAAATTAGTATGTTTTTTTTTATACTACTTAGAATGCCAAACAAGCTGATGGCCCACCTGATGGAAAGTGGTAACCGTCGCCTATAGACATGAGCAGTACCATGGACATAACAGAGTATACTGTTTCGCACATGATACCTCCCCATGCGTTGCCATTCCTGAGGATTCGGGTGTTATGCCTCTGTATCCAGTAAATTCACGCCATATCCCACCCTTCAAACCAAAACACACATGGGATAGAAGTGCCCAAGCAAACGACTTTTGTACAAAGTCCCCTCTGGTATATATGTATCAATATAGGACATCTTAATTATTATACGCTCGTTGGCCAGGTGCTGCTTTCCCTGATGATGGTGAAGTCCCCAATAACGGACGCGGACCGGCTGCGGGGGCTCGCCTGCCGCGCTCTCGCGGGGCTGGCGCGCTGCCCCACCGTGCGCCAGATCATCTCCAAGCTGCCGCTCTTCACCACCTCGCAGATACAAGGTACCACCGCTGCGTGCACAACGCTAGTCTCTCGGTAGTGCTAGTTATGGGGTCTAACAGCATTATTTCTAGCATTATTAGATCTAACAGGCCCATTATTAACAATATAACACGTCGACCTCCACGCGGTTCCCTCTGGAAACAAACATGGTTAATTCTTGATGAGCTCAACATCTCGCCTCCGTTATCGGTACACGTTGACGGGATACGCAATTAAAGATGGTAGATGAAGATGAAAACAGGTCAGTTAGTCCATCCTGACGAGTTCTACGAAAATTAATCACGATGGTTTCCAGGAGGAACTGCGTCGAGGTCGACCTGTTAGAGCACATTGCTGTTAGACCCCATTATTAACAATTCCTTTGCCCCCTACATATTATATTACACACACGCACACCCACATTTATATATATATATATATATATATATATATATATATATATATATATATATATATATATATGATGTCATGTGACATTCGGTTCTAGACAAAAATGAACTATATGCAGTTGTGTTGCATGGCTGTATTTCTGTTTGAAGGGTGGGATATGGCAGCGAATTTATAGGGTATAGAGGAATAACACCTGAGTCCTCAGGAATAGCAACGCATGGGGTTTTTTTTAATGAGTGATAATGGTATGGTAACCCCGTCTGCGCTATTTGTATACACTGGCGGGGCACCAGTGATAGATGACTGATTAGCAATATACCTGACAACCTGTCAGGTATATTATTAGTACAGTATACTCTGTTATGTCCATGGCACTGCTCATGTCTATAGGCGACGGTTACCACTTTCCATTAGGTGGGCCGTCAGCTTGTTTGCCATTCTAAGTTGCATAAAAAAAAATGGATAATTATTTATTTATTTGTGTTCATGTTCTGCTAAAAAAGTGTGAACTATATTGAAATAGAACCATATCATATCATAATAAAGTTGTGGGCGTGTTGCAGTGTTGATGCGCGACCCGATCCTGCAGGAGAAGCGGCAGGAGCACGTGATGTTCCAGAAGTACGCGCTGGAGCTGCTCGAGCGCGTCTCCGGCAAGAGCAAGCGGCGCGGCGCCGAGTTCGAGACCAGCCTCGCCAACATACACAGGGTGAGGCGACCACGGTGCTACTAACAAACGGACAATTACATAACCCTTATACTACATTTTGAAAGGAGCAACAGCCGAGTTTGTTGCCCGTTTCGAGCAACAAACTCGGCTGTTGCTTTTTTTAAAAAGTTCCAACTATATTAATAATGAATTTGTATGTAAACAAACTACTAAGCGGTATCAGATCATACAATTTAAAATCATCACCATCTTCCTTTTTTTTATTTTTTTTTAATACAACTTAGTCCTCCTACCCTTATCCTACGTTGAATCAACGACTATCAAAACGTTTATTACATTTAGATAAAAAAAAAAAAAACCTCAAAATAATGATAGGGACAATAACGGGCCATTGTGCATTAAACAAACATTTATACACAATAGGAGCCACAGACAGCCCTCTATGTCGAGGCTGTTTCGACGCCGAAGAAACGGCTGCTCGCGTAATCCTGGAATGTGAGGCTGTGGCCCATCAACGTTTAGAAATCCTCGGAACGGTGAGGTCGCTCCGTGAGGCCTGTGAAGAAGCCAGGAAGCTTCTGCGCTTCTGGGCGGAGCTAGGTTGGCTGTACTAGCCACGACTCATACGCACAATGGCCCAAATGAGGGGCTAAGCGCGGAAAATAGGGTCTTTTTTACATTCACATTAATTCTACCCTTAACCCAATTATTATTTGGGGTCGGCGTAATATATTTTTTTATTCATATTACAAAAAGATTTGGCTTATAGTTGTACGACTGGTCGCCTGCCTGACGTCGTCCCTCTTTGGGATAGTTACAGGCAGCAGGCAGTAATAAAATTTGGAACATATGGTATATAATTGAAATAACAAAATAAATAAGTCGCAATGACCAGAGCAGACTAGTCCCTATAGGCAGTGCCCGTTCACGAGTATGACGAGTGAGCCTTTAAGCCCTTAGCCATATTAAACATTAACCATGATTTTTTTCATACCACTGAGGTTACCGTAGCCTATGGACGCCTGCAATGCCAGGGGTTGCAACGCCTTTGATGTTCTTTTTTGTTTCGGAACTCCGTCGTTTATATTATAAATTGATATCCGTGCTTCTACCGTGAAGCAGTTGTGTTTGCATGGCTGTGTTTCGGTTTGAATGGTAGGGTATGGCAGTGAATTTACTGGGTACGGAGGAATAACACCTGAGTCCTCAGGAATTGCAATGCATGGGGAGTATCATGGGCATAACAGTATACTCTGTTATGTCCATGGTACTACTCATGTGTATAGGCGACGGTTACCACTTTCTATCAGGTGGGCCGTCAGCTTGTTTGCCATTCTAAGTTGTATAAAAAATATATAACATAAAATATTAAGGCTTAATTTTACTGTGTATTTGGTTCCGTAGTTTAGTTTTTAAATCAAAATTACTGATTTTATTATAATTAAAGTTAGCGATTTTTTTTTTAAGAAACAAATTTTGTAATCTTTTAAAGGAAACTGGTAATAAGTATCTATCTATCTATATGTTTGTAAAATTGATAAATTATTATAATGAATTTGCATTACCTACAGCATACAAATAACAACAGACATATATAGGCATACACAGTAAAAGGACTTAAACTAATGCACATACAAAAAAAAAAATTTTTTTTCTTCTCGCGTTATGCCATAGTAACACAAAATGGTCACAACTCATTTTATTGTTTTGCCCCTCAAAAGAGCAAAACACTGATATTCTGTTGTGGTCAAATTGCTTGACATAACATAAAATATTTATTATTTTTATTTTATTTAGAATAGAATAGAAAACAATTATTGCTAGTAAATACACAATCACAATAGAAAATATAAAAAATACATATACAAGAAGTGTCCCCACACTAGGCAAAAGGAATCGACTCAGCTGATGCTGTGAGTGTCACAGCGCAATGTGAACAGCTGCACAGCGCTGGTTTTCAGCCAGTCCCACTCTTAACAAAATACAATAAAATTGTAGGCTACCAATGTAAATGTTTCTAACAAGAATTATTTCTTGTACCCAGGCTAACGTGGTGGCGCAGACGCGCATCAACTACAACGAGCGGCAGCTGCTGCAGCTGGTGGGCGAGCACCTGGCCAGCCGCGGGCTGCTGGAGAGCGCCAGCACGCTGCAGCGCGAGGCGGGGCTGCCGCCGCCCGCCGCGCACCCGCCGCCGCCGCCGCCGCCGCCCGTCTACACGCCCTCCACGCCGCTGCGGGTACGCACGCACGCATGCACACGCACGCACGCACGCACGCACTCACTGCAATTTTTTTTTAATGGATGATAATAATACGGTAACCCCGTCTGCGCTATCGTTAAACACTGGCGGGGCACCAGTGAGCGATTATACTACACTACTTAGATACAAGGGAAACACCAGTGTCACAAAGAAAAGTGTCTAAAACATATTATGATGCTATAGATTCTAAATAAAAAGAATGTAGTTTATGCTACATCAGAGGGAGAGTTTGTACAAAAGTCGTTTGCTTGGGCAGCTCTGTCCCATTCGTGTTTCTACCGTGAAGCAGTTGTGTTTGCATGGCTGTGTTTCAGTTTCCAGGGTGGACTATGGCAGTGAATTTACTGGGTACAGAGGAATAACACTTGAGTCCTCAGGAATGACAACGCATCAAGAGGTGTGGGCGAAACAGTATACTCTGTTATGTCCATAGTACAGCTCATGTCTATAGGCGACGGTTACCACTTTCCATCAGGTGGACCGTCAGCTTGTTTGCCATTCTAAGTTGCATAAAAATGCTATATCTATGTGTTTACTTCGCACAGCCGCGCCTGATCTCTCGGACAAGCAGCTGTAGCTCCATACATCGAGACGCGGCCGAGCTCAACTCACACCACCCACTCGCCCACAACGCTCACAACGCCCACAACAACTCGCACACGGATGATAACCCACTGCCGCCTGTTATTAAAATAAGGTAAGAGGAATAAATAAATAAAAACACTTTTATTCAAGTAAACTTAATTATCTATGAGGAAGGCTTATGTCCAGCAGTGGACGAATAATGGCTGAAATGATGAAACTTAGTTTTTTTTTTGTTGGGTGAAAATGGTATGGTAACCCCGCCTGCGCTAACGGGCTATGCTGGCGGGGCACCAGTGAAGGGTGATAGATGAGAATGAAAACAGGCCAGTTAGCCCATCATGATGAATTCATCAGGAATTAACCATCATAGCTTCCAGGGAGAACCGCGAGGAGGTCGACCTGGTTGGGTATATTGCTAGCAATGGGATTCTCAGTCTCCATTACTAACAATCCCTTTCCCCCCTGATGAAACTTAGTTATAATCATTTTTGAATAGTAATTTTTTTTTTATCTATTGCTTAGTTTAAAATGCAATTTCAACTGAGAACTTTTTGTCTACAGCCGGGGTCGTTGATCAATCTTGAGCTTTATGTGGCATCCATAAAGTCTAATTTCCACTAACTTCCTGTGTTGTCTACGGGTGAACTTGTCAACCAATCTTGAGCTCTATGTACTGTTCATAAATTCTAATTTCCACTAAAATTCCGTGTTGTCTACAGCCGGGCTCGTTGATCAATCTTGAGCTCTATGTACAATCCATAAAGTCCAATTTCCACTAACATCCTGTGTTGTCTACAGGCGGGCTCATCAACCAGTCTTGAGCTGTATTTACTGTTCATAAATTCCAATTTCCACTAAAATCCCATGTTGTCTACAGGCGGGCTCGTTGACCAGTCTTGAGCTCTATGTACACTCCATAAAATCTAATTTCCGCTAACTTCTTGTGTTGTCTACGGGCGGGCTCATCAACCAGTCTTGAGCTCTATGTACCGTTCATAAAAGCAAAAACTCCCTTATTGGAAAGGCCTAGGTTCAAAAGTTGAAACCTGACAGTTGATATTGAATGAGGGATATTACCAAAAGTTGCCACACTTGGCAGGCAAATTGCTATTAATAAATTGCCAAGTCTCCAATCAAAAATGTTTAATAGAGTACTATATTCATAATAATACCTAAACGTGCCATTGGGAAGAGATTATTTTTTTTTTTATTTATTTAACACTTTATTGCACCAACATAACATGATTTGTTAAAACAATTTTCAATACGTATAGTGTTATAGATTATCTAGATAGATTGAAGATATGATGTGTGAAATTGTGAACTTCCACAGGAAGGTGGCCCAAAACTCACCAATGATATCGTCGCCGTCTCCGTGCGAACGCGCGTTGGAACACAAGCGGTCGCTGCAGAAGCAGCTGATGGGGGCCGGCGGCGAGCCCGTGGCCAGCCCCCACCGGGTCACGCTCCACTCCATCATCACCGAGTACCTGTACAACCAGCACGCGCTCTGCAAGAACCCCGTCGTCACCTGCCCGCAGTTCAACTTGTTCCAGTATGTAACATTACCTTATATTGTAATTAATGGCTGCTGATTATGAACCTTTGGCCCCTATAAGGTCATCCTCCACTCCATCTTCACGGAGTACCTGTGAAACTAGCTCGTGCTCTACGAGAAATCCGCTTTCTTGCCATAAAAATTTATTAATAAAAAAATTTGCATGCTAAATGGTTTAGTTATCATCTCATGTCTGTTCGCAATTTAATACAGTTTTTTTTTCATGTAAAAAGAATCTAATACTTTTTCCCGAAAAAAAAATATAAAACGCAAATGTATTCGTCTATGGTATTTAGTGTTATTTTTGGTACAGGCCACACAAGTGTCCGGAACCTCGAAGCGGCGTTGAAGCCAACTTATGCGCTCGCGTAGTTCGACGAGAGCTGGGCAGCTCGGTAGGTGGCGCGCGGGCGAACTCACGCTACGTACACGGACACTTTGCACCGGCTAGGACGCTGCGTCTACAGGACGACGATGCATACTTCACGCACACCATATTCCATGTAAGATTTATTTTGTTCTGTACGTTTATGTCCGGCTCGAAGGACCACAGAGGCAATTTTTACATAAAAGCCGTCAGCACACACACATCTGTCAACTTCCTGTCACTCTTTTATAACACTAGTTGTATCCCGTGGCTATTGGCGTATTTAAGATTATTTCCAGGCGAGTTTGGCCCCTTAGAAAGGCACATTATTCAGACATTTTTTTTTTTATTATTATTTTAAGGGCTTTTACCTTCTTCAGGTATATCAGTCCTATTGTACCTTGAACTGATTTCTCCAACAAAACTTTATCTACCTTCCCTAGACGCGGAAAGAGAAGAATTAGAGGGCATCAATAATTTACAGAGATGTCATGTACATAGCTAAAAACCTCTGCTCGAATCCTGGGGTACCTGGTGAATCAGACGATTTTAGAGCTGCACCAGGCCAGGAACCCCAGGCTCTCACCCAAATACGCCTATGCCCGCGGCTTCGTCCACGTGAATATATACTCGTAAAGTATGTATCCTATGTTTTAAATTAGGATATAAATAAGTGTACCAAATTTCATTTAAATACATTCAATAGTTTTTGTTTGATAAAGTAACAAATAACCCTACAAACTTCCGCATTTATAACAAATATTGGTCGCCAAGTGGTCAGTAACAGTAGATTATCGTGACGAATTCATCATCAATCAACCACGATGATTTCCAGGGGAGACCATGTGGAGGTCGATCTGTTAGAGTACATTACTAGCAGTAGAGCCCGTTACTAACAATCTCCCCACTGCTCCCGCCCTACCGTACTTTTTTGTCATAATTTTGCACATTATAGAAAAAAATAAATATAAACGTGCATGCACAATTGCAGCCGACGCAGCAGCAACTGCTCGCGGCGACGTCGTCGGGCGACATCCGCGTGTTTAACCTGTTCACCGGCGTCGAGGAGAACTCGTACCAAGTGCACGAGTCGTATATAAGTCACATGCAGGTAATGGCACACAGTGATCAGTATGGGGGTTGTTTAGTTGGTGATCAGTCGAGTTGTTTAGTCGGTGATCACTTGTGGGTTGTTTAGTTAGTATATATTATATATAGAGATCAGTCAGGGATTATTCAGTTAGTTGGTGATCACTTGGGAGTTGTTTATTTAGTAATCACTCGAGGGTTGTTTACTTAGTGATTAGTAACATTGTATATATGTTATGTACAGGTAATGTACATATGTCATATACATGATGATCAGTTGGGGATTATTCTGTTAGTTGGTGATCACTTGGGAGTTGTTTATTTAGTAATCACTAGAAGATCCTTTAGATAATGAGAAGTAACGCCGTATAAATATCACATGCGAATAATGACACATGGAGATCAGTTGGGTGTTGTTTAGTTAGTCGGTGATCACTTGGGAGTTGTTTGCTCAGTAATTACTTGATGTTTGTTTAGTCAGTGATCAGTTTGGTTTAAATTTAAATCTCGTATATTCTGTGGAGGCATACAGCACTTGAATATGCAGGAATAGCCACGTATGGGGGTATCATGGGCGAAACAGTATACTCTGTTTTGTCCATGGTACTGCTCATGTCTATAGGCGACGGTTACCACTTTCTATCAGGTGGGCCGTCTGCTTGTTTGACATTCTAAGTGGCATATATATATATATATATATATATATATATATATATATATATATATATATATATATATATATATATATATATATATTATTACATTCTTCCAAAATCCGTACGAAGTGGTGGGTAAAAGCTAGTTAATATTTTTTTTTTATATTGTATATGTTTACGATGTTGCAGGCAAGCAGAGACGGTCTACTCCTGCTAGCGTCGACACCGACCACGTGGCGGCCCTTCTCAGCTTTATTCAGCATGAAGGACTTTGAACAACTGTATGTATGAGCAATATTTTTTACAAGTTTTTGTTTATGGTACCACTGACAACCGGCGTCATATCCACTGTCTACTGTCCACTGCTGAACAGAAGCCTTTCCCCAAAAGAGAAGTTTCGGCAGTAGTTGCTACGCTTGGCAGACGGGTTGGCAACCGCAGTTAGGCTTTGGTGATGTTTTAAGAGGGACGCTGCCGTCCATCCCACGCCCTCCCTTAGTCGCCGCTTACGACACCCATGGGAAACAAAGAAGTGGCCTATTCTATTCCGGGACCTACATTGTCAGCTGTAAAATTTAATAATTTTTAAATATGTAATTTATACTAATATTAGAAATAAAAAACAAAACTGAAACCTTCATGAAAATAATTTATTCCTTCCGAACATGCTTGCAATTTCTCTGATGTCGCGGATGTCTATAGGCGATGGTAAACGCTCACCATTAGGTGAGCCGCATGTATGTTTGCCTCCTATATTAAAAAAAATAGAAAACAATGGCCAGCCTTATTATAATACAATTTTATTCCAGATTCCAACTAGATAACGAGGAGTACGTGGAATTCTCCAAGATGTCGGACGACAGGATCATAGGCACCAAGGGCGAAACAGCGACCATATTCGACACGCTGACTGGCCGCGAGCTGATGACTCTCACGCCGTCCATCAGCAACCAGTACGCGAAGAATCGGGCCACCTTCAACCCCACCGACGAACTGGTGCTTTCAGGTACGATCAGAGGGGTCTAAGATGGAAAAAAACATATACTGATAATAAAGTTGCCTGGAAGAGATCACTTTTTTTATACAACTTAGAATGGCAAACAAGCTGACGGCCCACCTGATGGAAAGTGATAACCGTCGCCTATAGACATGAGCAGTACCGTGGACATAACAGAGTATACTGTTTCGACCATAATACCCCCCATGCGTTGCCATTCCTGAGGACTCGGGTGTTATTCCTCTGTACCCAGTAAATTCACGCCTTCTTAACAACTTCAGCCAAAATAATTATAATTTCATTGATATGTATATTCCCACTCGTGTTTCAACCGTGAAGCAGTTATGTTTGCATGGCTGTGTTTCGGTTTGAAGGGCGGGATATAGCAGTCAATTTACTGGGTACAGAGGAATAACACCTGAGTCCTCAGGAATGGCAACGCATGGGGGGTATTATGAGCGAAACGGTATATATACTCTGTTATGTCCATGGTACTGCTCATGTGTATAGGCGACGGTTACAACTTTCAATCAGGTGGGCCGTCAGCTCGTTTGCCATTCTAAGTTGTATAAAAAAACTCACAATTTGGACCAGTAAAATTTTTTTCAAAATCTGTTTATTACTTTATTTTTTTAAATCAAAATGAATGGTTTGGTCCCAATTGAATTGTTTTTATTTTTTTGTATTCTTTTCATTCATTTAACAGACGGCGTGCTATGGGACGTGAATACTGGCAAAGAGATACACAAGTTCGACAAGCTGAATCAAACCCACAGCGGCGTCTTCCACCCCAACGGGCTGGAGGTGAGGTCTTCATCTAATCTTTTGTCCAGTTTATTTTCAAATACACTCGCCGTTCCACACTCCGGAATGGCAAAACCTTTAATTACTATATTTTTGTATCAATAATTCCCTTTATCAAAATGGACTACTAATATATTATGTATTATTTATTTATGTATCAATGTTTTAAGTGTGTGAGGTATTTTTTTGAAAATTATGGTACGATGAGGCTGACATATCCTTATAGGATAAATACCTCTAAATAAAAAAAAAATAAAAAAACGAAAACTTTTATCCAGTAAGGCTTTGTTTGCTATTTTAAGGTGTATAAAAAAAAAAACATTATCATATCGTCAGTTAGCTGTCTATTGCTTAACATATGTCTTTCCCATAAGGGGGCTTTTGCATTTTGTTTTTTTTACCTTGGGAGTTTTTGTCATATTAAGTTTCCTTTAATATCTGCCATGTACATGTATCATCTAATTACAGTGTTATTACATTATTATTATTATCATTTCCAGGTGATATCAAATACCGAGGTATGGGACTTACGTACCTTCCACCTGTTGCGAACGGTCCCAACGCTGGACAAATCTGAGGTGAGAACACACACTCTCTTAACAAATTAAAAGATAATCTACAATTATTGTAAATATTTACAAAAGAAAGAAGAAAGAAATGAACTTTAATCTGACCAAATATATGACAGCAACCGCACAGGGGTTAAAAAATAACTGAAACTAATAACAAAAAAAGTCGGTCAAGTGCGAGTCGGACTCGCGCAATGAGGGTTCCCGACAAAATCATCAAGTTTAAAAAGTTTTTATTTGTGAAAATTACAAATTTACGATTTTCGGATATTTTCCTTCACTTGTGCTACATGTCATGTTTGGCGTGAATTTACTGGATACAGAGGAATAACACCTGAGTCCTCAGGAATGGCAACGCATGGGGAGGTATCATGGGCGAAACAGTATACTCTGTTATGTCCATGGTACTGCACATGTCTATAGGCGACGGTTACCACTTTCCATCAGGTGGACCGTCAGCTTGTTTGCCATTCTAAGTTGTATAAAAAAAAATGTCAGCTAATTTGACAATTAGCTGACAAAAGTTGACCCGTTTTTGAGGTTCGATGCTCTATCCATATAATCTAAGATTACAATGTGGGTAATGTACGTATATTTGCTCAGGTGACGTTCAACCCTAGTCACACGGCGCTGTACGCGCTGTGCTCGGACCGCGACGCGGAGGAGCGCAGCCAGTTCGACACCAGCTTCAAGACCCTCGACGCATTCGACTACTCCAGCATCGGTGAGTGACAAGCCTCCCTCCCCCCCCCCCCCCTGCTAAAGAACGGTCCCGAGTCACCTGCATCCACTGACTCCCTGCAATGCATTTAATATAAACTAGCAATCCGTCCCGGCTTCGCACGGGTACAATACTAAGGGTAAATAGCACCGCCGGCCCCCCGGCCGATACCGCCGTAACCGCTATGTCCCTGCATTTGAATACTGTAATATCTTCGAAAATATTAATTTAAATTACATTCTATAAAGGGCCATATTGATCTATATTAAATGGACAATGTATTTAAGGTACATAATTGGATGAGGATTAATGCTGTATTGCTAAAAATCGCTTCGTAAATGAGCCATTATTTCTCGTAAAAAGTACAGGATAAAAAATGCTTATTGGGGTTTATCCCTAAGAGATAGACATATACCATCGCGGGCTTTTTTTTGTAGACCTTTAGGCATATACTGTAGTACATTATTTTTATCTATCTCATAGGGTTCAGCCAGCGTTTGCAACTTAAAACAACCTAAACTTAAACGCAAAAAAATGAGCTTATTTACAAAATCACATTAGAATACCTCAAAAATTATCAGTGTTTCTCTACAATATTATGCATGTATTATACATATAAAGATTGCTCTTGAATTACTCTATCTATTAAAAAAAAAGTTCTAAACATACGTAGAGACGGACAGATGGAAATCGGCTATGATTTATACTATGTAGTGATGGTAGTGAAATCTGTAGTGCGCGAGTTAAGGGGGCGTACTGAATTAGGTTAGTTCTCACTGACGGGATATTAAAAGTATTATATTAATGTATCCATGGGTGCTATATATAGGGAAAAGTTGTCGGCGACCCCGTACTGGCAAACGCAGTGTAAGACGACCCCCACTAGACGGAGTGACGACTTCATATACATTGCAGGGAGTCAGTGGATGCAGGTGGTTCAGGACCGTTGTGACAGTCTACGGGGGGTGCCTATGTCCAGCAGTGGACGGATAATGGCTGAGATTGGTGGCGATGGGTACTATTGTTCCACTCGTGTTTCTACCGTAAGCAATTGTATATTGGGGTACGGGTAGGAACATGATGACGGTGGTATAATTCATAGTAATAATATATGTTTGTCTACACGTACACAGCGACGATAGAGGTGAAGCGGAACATATACTCGCTGGGCGTGTCCCCGTGGGGTACGCAGATCGCGCTGGTCGAGAACGTGGGCGACATCGACCAGGTGCAGGAGTCGTGCGTCAAAGTGTACGACGTCGGCCGCAAGCGGGACCACGACGACGATGCGGTCAGTACGCTCGGCTATATATATATATATATATATATATATATATATATATATATATATATATATATATATATATATATATATATATATATATATATATATATATATATATATATATATATATATATATATATATATATATATATATATATATATATATATATATTATATATATATATATATATATATATATATATATATATATATATATATATATATATATATACCGTCGCCTATAGACGCCCGTAACACCAAAGGCATTGCAAGTGTGCTGTCGGCCTTTTAAAAAGGAATATGCTCTTTTCTTGAAGGTTATGTTGTCGTATCGGTACGCAAATACTGCTGCTGGAAGTTGATTCCAAAGAGTGGTTGTGCGTGGAAGAAATCCCATTCGTGTTTCAACCGTGAAGCAGTTGTGTTTGCATGGCTGCGTTTCGGTTTGAATGGTGGGATATGGCAGTGGATTTACAGGGTACAGAGGAATAACACCCGAGTCCTCAGGAACGGCATCGCGTGGCGAGTATCATGGGTGAAACAATATACTCTCTTATGTTGGGTTCTTCAAAAAAGGCGTAAAGAGGTTTTTTCAGGCTAGGCAACGCGCGTAATACTTCTGGTATTGCAGGTGTTCATAGGCTACGGTAACCGCTTACCATCAGGTGAGCCGTATGCTTGTTTGCCACCTCAGTGGCATAAAAAAAAAGTTTACTACTGTAATCTTTTGGAGGAAATAAAGTCTCTATCTATCTATCTATCTATCTTCATGATTCCTCGTCATTCCAGGAGGAGGATGAGGAGGAGGAGATGGCCGGCGGTTCCGAGAACGACGACGGTTCCGACTCGGGATCGGATAACGACGAGGATCGTGAGTATATCTTGTTTAATTGTTTAAAATAAATCGCAGTGGAGATTTATTACAAATTTATTCATTTATTCATTTATTTATTGCTATTACTATTTCTATTTAAGAGCGTTTGTAACGAAGTGAATGAATGCATTTGGCGTTCCATTGTTTCTGCCTACCCTAATGGGAGACAGGCGTGACAGATATGTATGTATGTATGAATGAATGAATTAATGGTTTATTTTCACCTTCACAAAAGGTAGTATAAATTGACAACTTGAGGTGCAATTTGATATGAATACCAGTTTTGTGAGAGACTGGTGCTTGCGGTAAGTTTAGAGGAACCTGTGTCACAAGTCACCAGTGTCCCATCTCCGTGGACTACACAAATACAAGGCAACTATATAACACTAATTGTAACTAATAATACACAATAGTGTCGCCGTGTCACAATTATGTATTTATTTATAAAAAAATACTAGCTGACTCGGCAAACGTTGTTTTACCATATACATTATTTCTAGAAATATACATGAAAATTTCTCACACTATAATTATTATATTCGATTGTCATCTTGCAACCATATTGCGGAATTTAAAAATCGCGGTTAAAAAACAGGAATTGATCGTAAAACTGTGAAAATTTTAGGTTGTATATATGTTTCAATGCTTAATCATAATAAAATAAAAATAAAAAAAAAATTAAAAAAATTTAGGGGTGGGGGGTCACCCTTACCATTGAGGGGTATGAAAAATAGATGTTGGCCGATTCTCAGACCTACACAATATGCACACAAAATTTCATAAAAATCGGTAAAGCCGTTTCGCAGTAGTTTGGTGACAAACACCGTGACACGAGAATTTTATATACTTAGATCTCTACATATTTTTGATGAGTTTTACAGATTTACTAATGTATTAACCAAAAACAAAAAATAAAACGGGTCAGTTGGCACATCATGATAAAATTGATAAGAATTAACAATGGTGAACGCGTGGAGGTCGACCTGATAGGGTTTATTGCTAGCAATTGGATTTTTAGTCTCCATTACTAACAATCCCTTTCCCCCTTCATAAAATGTTGAACAAACACTTATATTGAGGGGGAAGGGATTGTTAGTAATGGAGACTGAGAATCCAATTGCTAGCAATATACTCAACCAGGTCGACCTCCTCGCGGTTCCCCCTGGAAACTATCATGGTTAATTCCTGATGAATTCATCATGATGGGCTAACTGGTCTGTTTTCATTCTCATCTATCACCCTTCACTGGTGCTCCGCCAGCGTATCCCGTTAGCGCAGCCGGGGTGGTTATCATTCCATTTTCATCCATAAAAAAAAAAAACATTTTATAAAGATAATCTGTTACCGTATCGATTACAGTGGCGGCAAGTTTGCTCCGCAACGCGGTGAGGGGCCTCGTAGACGGCGGCAGTTCAGGGGAGTCCTCGCGCGATGGGCAGGAAGTGGAACGGGACGACCCGCCCGCGGCCGCCGCGCCCGCCCCGCACCAGCAGCGAGCACGCGCTCGCCGACGACGACTCCGCTCGCGGCGACGGGTGAGGCCCACCGCTGGGATTACTAATGTACTAGTCGTTCAGGTCATCAGGTCGACCTCCGCGGTTTCCTTTTGGAAACCATTGTGACTAATTTATCGTTGAATTCGTCACGATGGACTAATTAACCTGTGTTTTCATCCTCATCTATCATCCCTCACTGGTGCCCCGCCAGTGTATACCGTTAGCGCAGGCGGGGTTACCATTCCATTATCATCGATCAAAAAAAAAACCCTACCAAATTCAGATACAACCTGCTTGCATACTTTCTACATAAACTGTGCCGAATATATAATCTAGTAATGTACAATTTGTCATTGACAAATAATTGACATATCAAACATTTTCTATACACTAGCCTGCTATGAATTGAGAAAAATAGCAACTGATGGTGTATCTTTCGTCCTCTTTTAACTACTTATATTTGCATAAGAAGAAAGGAGGCAACCATATGATTTACAGTTTTTATTTTATCATAAAAAATATGTAGTATTTACGTATTTATATATTTTGTATCTATAAGTTTAGTTAGAACATTATAATATAAGGTAAGATAGAAGGAAGGAGGGGGAGAGGGAGACCGAGACATAGTTACATCAGGCAGATCAAGGAAGGAGTTGGTGTCGTGTCGTATCAAGAGGTGAAGGGACTTGCTGCAAATCGTAGTGAGTGGCAAGAGCTCCACCAACAAGAAAGCAGCTCTTAAATTAGGATTTTTTTTTAAACAATAAAGAGTATCTATCTATCTATGTATGGTTGGCAGGCGGCCGAGCGAGCACAGAGCAGCGACAGTGACGGAGACATCGACATTGGCGACCTGATACAGTTCGAGCTGGACTGAGCGGCTACCGGCACCCTATATGTGAATACACGTGTTGAGCAGTTGGCGTGTTTGTTTTATTGTACACACCTCCTAAACTATAGGATTCTTTTGTAATGGACGATAAAGTATGCCGTGTAGGCCCCGGTACAGAATAGGCCACCCTTTCGTGTTGCGTGGGTGTCGTAAGAAGCGACTAAGGGAGGGCGAGGGATGGGCAGCAGCGTCCCTCTTAAAACGTCTGCAAAAACCTTACTGCGGTTGCCAACCGCCTGCCAAGCGTGGCAACTACTGGCAAAACCCTCCTTATGAGGGAGAATATGCTCAGCAGGTAATAGATAACGGCTGATACAAGATTTTTTTTTTATACAACATAGAATGGCAAACAAGCTGAAGCTAAGTTGTATAAAAAGATTTTTCTCAAACATGCTTGGGAATGTGAGCATTATTTTGACAATCTTCTACGAGATAAATCAAAATTGCCGTACTGTCCAGGTACATGCGGGCAGCGGCCGGCAAAAGTTGTATGAAAATCCATATCTGTTGTTTTGCGGCCAGTTAAATTACTATGTAAACTCATATCTTTCCTATAATTTAAAAATGGAATGACCTTTTACTTCGAAACATGGCTACCAAGGAGGTAACTAGTAAAAGGTTTTATTTAAATTTCGAACTGGCTTGCAAATAGAAAGCCGTTTATTGAAAAAAAAAAAAAAAACGAGGGAACATTATGGCGCGTGAAAAATTATGATTGTTCGTTATTCGTCATTGAACTTAAAAAGTATGTTGTTTGGGTACCTCTGTCCCATTCGTGTTTCAACCGTGAAGCAGCTGTGGTTGCATGGCTGTTTCGGTTTGAAGGGTGGGATATGGCGTGAATTTACTGGGTACAGAGGAATAACACCTGAGTCCTCAGGAATGGCAACACATTGTGGGTATCATGGACGAAACAGTATGTACATGGTACTGCTCATGTTTATAGGCGATGGTTACCACTTTCCATCAGGTGGGCCGTCAGCTCGTTTGCCATTCTAAGTTGTATAAAAAAAAAGTGTACAAGAATTTCAAATTGAGAATAGGATCACAAAAAAAAAATAACAGATCAATGCTCAAAATATATTTCGTATAACATAACTGCCGTCGTCGTGGACCTAAACTCCCCAGTGTACAACAAATATGTATATTCTCTTATTTATACATCAATAATGTGTATGTATGTATGACCGCGCGTTCATGCACATGAACTATTTAATAAAAAATGTAAACAAACGGACATTTGACTCGATCGTCATGATGGGCTAAAGTCAATTTGCTGATGGGCTAAGGTCAATTTGCTGATATTCAATAGAAGTATAAATTTAAAATCAATTTATTTAATAGTTAGTTAATTAGTAATTAAATTACTAATTAAAAAGTGTTAATTTGACAATTTCAACACAATTTGGTTACCATTTCATTTTATTATAACTAAATAACAGAGTTTCGTGCCTCCAGTCAAACTGTTTATAATTACTCCTCTCCATCATGTAGACGACATCATCGTGACAAGTTCATGGTGTCCAGGGGTGACCGCGTGGAGGTCGATCTGAGATAGTTTATTGTTAACAATTGGACAGTTAATTTCTATTATCAACGATCTACACAATGATTATCACTACACAGTAATGTGTATAAATATATAAATACAAAAAAAAATTTATAAATGAAAAATTATATATTGAAAATTTATTAAACGAGGGACGATGCGTTTGTCTCATTAAAATTATGTTTTTTTTTTCTTTAATTTGCCATTTTAAAAACACGGACAAATACAACAATACACAATTACATACATACAATTAAATGGTACAAAAACCTTTTTAGCAATTTATTTATTTATTTTACGGCAATACAAATAAAGAAAAAATGCGTTGTAATTTTACTTTTTTGAAATCGATTGAAAAAATATTTACAACAGTGCATGAACGCGCGTTACCTATATATATATATATATATATATATATATATATATATATATATATATATATATATATATATATATATATATATATATATATATATATATATATATATATATATATATATATATATATATATATATATATATATATATATATAATTAATAAGTATTATATTTTAATAGTCATATTTATTTTTACTAATTACTGATATTTAATTCATATAATTTATTGGTATAACAATTGTAACATTAAACCACTTTACCAACGTCTACATAACAATCCCCAGGGGGGTGAAAGTTCCCAATTTGCGAATCAAATAGTAAGACTTATTTTATATAATCCGCCAATATGAATGTACTGGGGGGAAAGGGATTGTTAGTAATGGAGACTGAGAATCCTATTGCTAGCAATATACCCAACCAGGTCGACATCCTCGCTGTTCCCCCTGGAAACTATCATGATTAATTCCTGATGAATTCATCATGATGAATGAATGATGGGCTAACTGGCCTGTTTTCATTCTCATCTATCACCCTTCACTGGTGCTCCGGCTGTGTATCCCGTTAGCGCAGGCGGGGTTACCATACCATTTTCACCCATCAAAAAAATAAAATTGAATGTACTACTTCGATAATATTATACCCTCGCCTCAAATAACCTATTTTTTTTATTAATGATAATGGTATGGTAACCCCGCCTGCGCTAACGGTATGCACTGGCAGAATGAAAAAGCAAGTCGGTTAGTCCATCGTGATGTGATGGATACATACAGAATCCAGCACGATGGTTTCCAGGGGGGGACCACGTGGAGGTCGACCTGACAGGGCATATTGCTTGCAATGGGACAGGTAGTCCGCATAACAATCCCTTCCCAAGCAAATAGCCTATTGAACTGGGCGGATTATATAATATAAAGCAAGTGCTATGTTTTAAGCAGTGGCAGACCAAACCCGTCAGAGGGCCCGGCAAGAGTTAAAAGTTACCCTCAGTTTAAGAAGTTAGTGTAATTCTATAAACTTGTTATCCATGCATTTGTATGTACAAATGTACATGTTTATTTACTTGAAATATTACAATTGTAATTTAGACTTAAATAAACATATATACATAGAATATTGATGAGAAAAACAATACAAACGATGCACATTGTATATGTACAATACGCGTATCCTAAATAGCAACCAAAAAACATTCATAGCACATCAATAATAAGGTTCATATTGGCTTGTAAACATAATATATGACACAATCCCACTATATATACATATTAGACAATGACAGGCCAATATGAACCTAATTGTTATATAACATAGAACTACAATACTATACACAATCGTTTAATTCAATTCTTTATAAACTTTACTGGAAGTACATATTAGGACATGTATATAAACTATATGTAGATCCTTTTCAACCGACTTTAAAAAGGAGGTTTAAAAACATTTTTTTTTTGTTGTTTCATGCCAAAAAGTGAAATATAATGATACACTCTTTTTTTTGGGCAGTCGTGTAATTTAATAGCCTTCTTTATGAAGTTGCTTGAACATAGGAATATGTATGTTAGATCAAGATATATGAGAGACACTTATTTATATACATATATATATATATATATGTATGTATATATGAAAATATATATACATACATAACTAGCTTGACAAGTGCTGACAAAACCCCCCAGGGGGGAAGGCTATGTTCAGCAGTGGGCAATTAACGGCTGATAGATATATATATATATATATATATATATATATATATATATATATATATATATATATATATATATAATTGCTTAGGTATCTACATGTCTTTGTATAATTGAATAGGTACTGGGACATTTAAAGATAACTAAATAAACAAATTTGGTTAATAACATCAGATTCAGTTTTGTTTAAACAATTCCGCTAAAGGAAAAAGAGCACCCGGTAGCACATTCATTCCATCTCATACACTAGTAGCGCCAAAACGTAATACAAAATTGCTCTAGCGGATAAATACTGTAATTAAACACCTTAGGGCGACATCTATGTAGGTTTTTGTGACTGTCATATAATTTTATTTTTACACCACGCCGGCATACACAGACCACCAGTGTATGCCGGCTCAAAACCCAGTGACCCGGAGGTAGTGGCCTCCGGAGATGCAGCCGGGGTAAAGGGGTTTACCCCGAGACCCCCACCTCACCCGCCTACACTATTAAGGCGGGTAAGAAGACCCGGATGATGATGATGAATTTTATTTTTAAATAAACATTTAATTATGTTAACATAACTTTATTTGGTTTCTGTATTAGTCTTGTGTTCTTTTAACCTTGAAATCTCTGCGCCCAGTGTGTCCATGTTTTCCTGAAAACAGAATTTAAAATTTAATATATAATAATTTAAGATTATGGCACCAGAGGGAGACTTTGTACAAAAGTCGATTGCTTGAACACCTCTGTCCCATTCGTGTTTCAACCGTGAAGCAGTTGTGTTGGCATTGCTGTGTTTCGGTTTGAAGGGTGGAATAGTGCAGTGAATTTACAGGGTACAGAGGAATAACACCTGAGTCGTCAGGATTGGCATCGTATGGGGGGGTATCATGGGCAAAACAGTATACTCTGTTATGTCCATGGTACTGCTCATGTCTATAGGCGACGGTTACCACTTTCCACCAGGTGGGCCGTCAGCTTGTTTGCCATTCTAAGTTGCATAAAAAAAAAAAAACAGAATCGACTTCAATTGTGACGAACACTTTAAAACAGGGGTTCTCAAACTTATTTTGTCTACTGCCCACTTTGAGAATAAATTATTTTTTAGCTCCCCCATTTTGTCACCTACTTAAAACCCACTATTACTTCAAGATCAACAAGTCACCCCCCAAGCCTCTACACAACACCCCCATGTTTTCCTGGGTCTCTTACCGCCCCCTTTTGGCCTGCAGCGCCCACAAGGGGGCGTTATCACCTACGAAAAGGCTGCATTATATAATCTACATTACTTTGAGTGTGATGTTCTTGAGCAGCGTGTCTTCCAGCACGGCCTGCAGGCGACGGTTCATCTCCAGGGACAGCTCCAGGGTCATACCGTCCGTGGCCCCGCCCCACACCGCCGCCATAGCACCGCCGCCCAGTCGGGCTATCTCCTTCTGTAATGTTTCCTTCTATTATTGTACGCACACTGCCCGCTGGTAATTAATGCTCCTTTCCACTCAGGGTTTGCTGGAAGAGAACTCTTATAGAGTTAAGCTCGCCTGTTGTACATCTTTATTTTATATATATATATATATATATATATATATATATATATATATATATATATATATATATATATATTAAATGTTGTAATTTTTTGTGTACAATAAAAAATAAATAAATAATTAAACGAACAATAGAACATTTTCTAATATTTTTGATTGATTATTTAAAAAATGCTCTGCTAGCGAACTAAAACGTGAATTATGCAATAATATACCTATTATATCATCATCATCATCATCATCATATCAGCCGTTAACTGCCGGGGGGAAGGGATTGTTAGTAATGGGGTTTTTTTCTATTGGATGAAAATGGTATGGTAACCCCGCCTGCGCTAACGGGATACGCTGGCGGAGCACCAGTGAAGGGTGATAGATGAGAATGAAAACAGGCCAGTTAGCCCATCATGATGAATTCATCAGGAACTAACCATGATAGTTTCCAGGGGGAACCGCGAGGAGGTCGACCTGGTTAGGTATATTGCTAGCAATGGGATTCTCTGTCTCCATTACTAACAATCCCTTTCCCCCCCAACCATAAAGGTTGAGTCTGTTCTTTTTTACATCAACAAATCTTAAAGGGTCCTGTTAAAATTAACACCTTACCTTAGTTAATTTTGGTATTGGCTGAATTAGCAGCATGAAATTTAGAACAAAACATTAGCTATACCTAGCCACATTCTAGACGTAAATAGAGGAAAATAGATATATCGTCATAGTCGTAGAATACTGACGGATCTGACAAATATTACGTATAAAGATCCGTCATTATTCTACGACTATGACGATATATACATATGTAATATATATATATATATATATATATATATATATATATATATATATATATATATATATAATAACACATATAACCACACAATACTGAGCGAAAACAGGAACAATACGACTTATGAATGCGATCAACTGGTATTAAAATTGTTTTCCACAAAAAAAACCGACTTCAAATGTGGACAACCCAGTTATTTTATTTTTTAAACTAAACTATTGAATCGATTTTGGTAAAATTTCTATGGAATCACTATATAAGTATATCATTTCAGATAAATTAAGAATTGTACAAAGCGGTTTCAAACTGACGTAGTTATATCGCTGCGGTATGGAATTAGACAGTCCTCTAGTGAGAATGCTTGCCGAAAGGACTAGATCATTATTAGTACTTAAGTATTAACATAGTTTTTAAGTACTGTTACTAAGAAAAATAGACCGCAAACTGTCTAAAATAAATAAATATCACCACAGTCTAAAGTGACAATAATGACAGCAAGTGTATTGTACCTGTTGTTATTTATATCGCTACGGTATGGAAGGACATTGAACACAGACTATACCGTATTTTGTTAATAATGCTGCGATTAAAAGCGACAATAATGACAGCGAGTGTATCGTACCTGTTGTTATTTATATCGCTACGGTATGGAAAGATATTGAACACAGACTATACCGTATCTTGTTAATATCGCTGCGATCAAAAGCGACAATAATGACAGCAAGTGTATTGTAGTGTTGTTATTTATATCGCTACGGTATGGAAGGACATTGAACACAGACTATACCATATTTTGTTAATAATGCTGCGGTTTAGTGACAATAATGACAGCAAGTGTATTGTAGTGTTGTTATTTATATCGCTACGGTATTGAAAGATATTGAACACAGACTATACCATGTCTTGTTAATATCGCTGCGATCAAAAGCGACAATAATGACAGCAAGTGTATTGTACTGTTGTTATTTATATCGCTACGGTATGGAAAGACATTGAACACAGACTATACCGTATTTCGTTAATATTGCTGCGATCAAAAGCGACAATAATGACAGCAAGTGTATTGTACTGTTGTTATTTATATCGCTACGGTACAGAAGGACATTGAATACAGATTATACCGTACCTTGTTCATATCGCTGCGGTCGGAAGTGACAGTGCCGGCGGGCAGCGAGCACAGCAGATGGCGCAGCAGTCGCGACTTGGTTCGTAACTCGGCCGTGAGCTGCCGCGAGTGCTCCTCTAGGAACTCGCAGCGTTCCGCACGCCGGGCGGCCGCGCGTTGCAACGACACGATCCGCTCGATCAGTGTCTGTCTGTCTGGTTCACGGACCTGTGCACGTGATATGTATACATAAATATTAGTTAAATCGGTGTTTCCCAACGTGGGGTCCATACTCCACAAGGGGGCAATTTGATAGTTAAGGAGGGGGGGGGGGGATTAAAAAATGGACTAGAAGCGATTTTAACCCTCTTGCTCTGGGCCATTTAAACGCAATGCTACGAATAGATATCGGTGCCAAATTTAAGAAGAAAAAAGTAAATTTAAAATGTTATCAAAATATCAACTGGGCGATTAGAGTCGTAATGTAAACTTTTTTGGGAAAAATTATGTATGGGGGCATAAAAATTTTAGAAATGTTCAAGTGGGGCATGGCACAAAAAAGGTTGGGAAACACTGAGCTAAATCATGCGGCTTTGCTCGCATGAATCAGTGTACAACTCTTTGTAAAGTAGAGTAGTAGTGTAGTGTGTGGCAAGAGCTCCACTGACAAGAGAGCAGCTCTCAAATAGGAAATGAAACGATATTAATTTGAATATATACTAAAATTTAATTAACAAATTTCAACTGTTTCAAAAAAAAAAGACCTTCCGAGCAAATGTTTTAAAATTTGTTACTTCTGTTGGAGTATTAAGTGTGTTTCACTAAAGGTCCAAAAACATTATTAATGTTATTCATAGATGGCAACTCTTGTATTTTTTTTTAAGACAGTGTGTACTCTCTTGTCTATGGTTCCTCCTTTTCCAACAGAAACTATATAATGTACAAGTGAGTTAAGAGAAAAATTAAATATTATAAAAATATTGTCCGCTGTTTTTTAAAAAACCACCAATTTCTACTATATATTTGTAAACAAAAAAAAATATAAATATAATTCTACTATGACACTCTATTTCTAGTCCGTGTGGTCCTAGCATAGAATAGGACACGTCTACCTTTCCCGTGGGTCTCGTAAGAGGTAACTAAGGGAACGTAATGATCGAGGGATGGGTAGCAGCGTCCCTCTTAAAACATCTCTAAAAGCTTAACTGCAGTTGCCAATCAGACTGCCAAGCGTGGCAACTACTGGCAAAGCTCTCCTTATGAGAAAGGCTTATGTCCAGTAGTGGACAGTTAACGGCTGAAATGATGTTACTGTATTACTTGAAACTACATCAAAAACTAAACCCAACACTAGTACAAATAAAGATGATATTTCAAAAACAAATCCAACCTTAGGAAGCATTTTATTGAATAAACTTGAATGTTTTATCTGTAAGACCAAAAATATAAACTGTCAACTCTTTTTTTGGAACTTAGAATAGTGAAGAAACTGACGGTCCACCTTATGGACAGTGGTAACGGTCGCCTGTACCATGGACATAACAGAGTACACTGTTTCGCCCATGATACCCCCATGCGTTGCCATTCCTGAGGACTCAAGTGTTATTCCTCTGTACCCAGTAAATTAACGCCATATCCCACCCTTCAAACCGGAACACAGCCATGCAAACACAACTGCTTCACGGTAGAAACACGAATGAGACAGAGGTGGCCAAGCAAACGACTTTTGTACAAAGTCTCCCACTGATATCGTAAATAAACACATTTTTTAGCATTTCCCTCGTGCGAAGCCGGGGCGGGTGACTAGTTAAATATAATAATTATTTATTCGCTGAAAAATATAGTATATAGATGCTACTTATAATATGTTTTTTTTTATGGGTGAAAATGGTATGGTAACCCCGCCTGCGCTAACGGGATACGCTGGCGGAGCACCAGTGAAGGGTGATCGATGAGAATGAAAACAGGCCAGTTAGCCCATCATGATGAATTCATCAGGAATTAACCATGATAGTTTCCAAGAGAAACCGCGAGGAGGTCAACCTGGTTGGGTATATTGCTAGCAATGGGATTCTCAGTCTCCATTACTAACAATCCCTTTCCCCCACTTATAATATGTTATGTACTAAAACAATGGCATGCAATATTTTAGTATTTATACTAACTTTTCCAATACCGTCAGTATAGTTTTGTATGTAAGCACTAGGTTTTTAAAATTGGTTTCGTTTCTACCGTCATAATGTTATAATTATTTTAATGAACAAATAAATAATAAACACATACCTGAATGTCGGGCAGTCCGTCCGTCTGTGTATCGTGCAGGCGATCCTCAGGAACTGCCGGCGCGTTCTCGCCGCTACTCAGTGACGACACTGAACCTGTGACAGTATGTTTTTACTAAGCTACAAAGGTAATCATTATTAATATTATAAATGTGAAAGTGAGTGTGTTTGTCTGTTACCTTATAGCGCCTTAACGGCTTAACCAATCTTTATGAAATTTGGTATATACATACTGTATGGATTGGAGAAGGATATAGGCTATTCTTATCCTGGCCAAATGGACTAAATCGCGGGTAGAAGCTAGTAATGATAAATTTAAAAGCAATTAGTAACTGTAAAAAAAAAAACTTATAATTATGTTCCATGAAAAAAAAAGCAGTTATTTATAAATTAAATTACTGAATTGACAGAGTTCGAAAAAATACGATTTTTATAATAAATATAAAAACAAAAAAAAAAACAAAAAAAAAAGCAAACACAGCTGCTTCACGGTTGAAACACGAATGGGACAGAGGTACTCACTCAAGCAATCGACTTTTGTACAAAGTCTCCCTCTCTGGTAAAAAGCATATTTTTTTTTATACAACTTAGAATGGCAAACAAGCTGACGGCCCACCTGATGTAAAGTGGTAACCGTCGCCTATAGACATGAGCAGTACCATGAACATAACAGAGTATACTGTTTCGCCCATGATACTCCCCATGCGTTGCCATTCCTGCGGACTCAGGTGTTATTCCTCTGTACCCAGTAAATTCACGCCATATCCCACCCTTCAAACCGAAACACAGCCATGCAAACACAACTGCTTTACGGTTGAAACACGAATTGGACAGAGGTACCCAAGCAATCGACTTTTGTACAAAGTCTCCCTCTGGTATATATATGCCCATATAATACGTATATAAGCCCAGCCCAGTGATATAACAAAGTAATATAATAATAATAAATAAATAAATAAATATATTATTATTATTACATTTTATTCAAATTCGTTCATTAGCTCTTATGTGAAAGAGTAACAAACATCCGTCCATCCAAAAATCAATAGAGTCTACCTGTTCTTGTGGAGGGCGCGTCGGGCGGCGGCAACTTCGCTTCCAGCTGCTCGCAGCGCTTCAAAGCACGTTGTAACTCTCGGTTCAATTCCTATAAAGAGAAAATAAAAACTGATTAGAGAGAAAACCCGTGATAGTTCTGCAGAATATTGCTTGACTGTGGACCGAGGAGCAAAAATATGATTATATATAAAGATTCCATGTAGTTCAAGCTCACGGGAAAGAAAGGGGTGGCCTAGTCTATGCCGGAACCATATAGCCAACAATATTACTAATTTGTTTTTTTTTTTATACAACTTAGAATGGCAAACAAGCTGACGGCCCACCTGATGGATAGTGGTAACCGTCGCCTATAAACATGAGCAGTACCGTGGACATAACAGAGTATACTGTTTCGCCTATGATACCCCCTATGCATTGCCATTCCTGAGGACTCAGGTGTTATTCCCCTGTAAATTCACTGCCATAACCCACCCTTCGAATCGAAACACAGTCATGCAAACACAACTGCTTCACGGTTGAAACACGAATGGGACAGACGTACCCAAGCAAACGACTTTTGTACAAAGTTAAAAAATACTGATGCCCTGTCAGCGTTTACCAGTGGGAGACTTTATACAAAAGTCGTTTGCTTGGGTGTCTCTGTCCTATTCATGTTTTTACACTTAAAACATCCCCAAAGCCTAACTGCTATTGTCAACACGCCTGCCAAGCGCGGCAACTGCTGGCCAAACTTCCCAAGAGGGAGTTTCCTCAGGGTCGGCAACGCGCGCGTAATGCCTCTGGTATTGCAGGCGTTCATAGGCTACGGTAACCGCTTACCATCAGGTGGGCCGTATGCTTGTTTGCCACCTCAGTGGTATAAAAAAAAAAGTTAGCGATGGCTTCCTATATTATAGAGGTAGCTTTCTATAACCATTTTTACCAGAGGGAGACTTTGTCCAAGTCGTTTACTTGGGTACCTCTGTCCCATTCGTGTTTCAACCGTGAAGCAGTTGTGTTTGAATGGCTGTGTTTCGGTTTGAAGGGTGGGATATGGCGTGAATTTACAGGGTATAGAGGAATTACACCTGAGTCCTCAGGAATGGCAACGCATGGGGGGTATCATGGGCGAAACAGTATACTCTGTTATGTCCATGGTACTGCTCATGTCTATAGGCGACGGTTACCACTTTCTATCAGGTGGACCGTCAGCTTGTTTGCCACTCTAAGTTGTATAAAAAAATAGCGTATAACGATAGCGCAGGCAGAGTTACTATTCCATGCGTATGTAACGCACACCACATGTGCACTTCTGCACATGCATTGTCACATGTGCAGGAGCTAATTATCTCTGTAGTGACAAGCACGGCTGATATTTTTGTAGGAAGTGTGTAGGGAGTACAGGACGTAACGTTACTTTTATGGCACTGGCATGTTTCTTCTTAATAACTCCGTTCTCTCCCTTCTCCCATTCCAGTTTCTTGCTTACTTCTGCTACCTCTTCTGTTAACTCGGCCACCTGGAAAGCAATTAGATGACACATTATCCTCAGACTAGCTTTAGCAGCTTTTTTATTTATTTATTCATTAGTACAAATATATGTGTACATGGCGGACTTAATGCTAAAAGCATTCTCTCCCAGTCAACCATAGGGAAGTGTCAGAATACTCGAATGCGGTACTAGTAATTATTGATATACATACATACTAAAATTACATATATAAACGAATAACAAATATACTTACACATATATGACATATACTATATTATACACGAAATTGAGAATAATATAAAGCACTTACTGCTCGGATAAAGTAAAAAAGTGAGCGTGAACGTCTTTTTTTAAAGACAGTTTAGTCGGTAGTGAAGAATGTAGGAGAAATGAATTTGAAGCGAAACCAGTACGGGATAAGAGGAGATAGATAGTTGGAGAGTATTGCTGGAACGAAGGTTACGATCGTGAGTTTCAAAAAGACACTGGAATTTGCTGCTTAAGTAGTTAGGAGACTGGGGGTTTCGAAGAAGAGTGTAGAGAGTACAAAGAGTTCTAACGTTTGCTTTCAAATATGAACTAATGAATTAATTAATGAAGAATTATGAATAAATTGCTAATTTAATCAGTTTTCGATTTTCAAAGGACTTTCAGTTTGACCCTCGTATCTATGTATTTATGTACGAGGTTTGTCCGGAAAGTACGTATAAAAGTTTTTAAAAATTTTATTTTACAATTATTCAGGTAAATCAATTTTATCCCCTTCAAAGTACTCCCCCTGTGACATAATGCACTTGTGCCAACGCCGTTTCCACTGTGAGAAGGCTCCTTGAAAGTCCTCTGGTTGTAGGTTTCTCAGCTGCCCCGTCGTAGCTTTTTTTATCTCATTTATGTCCCCCAAATGCCGCCCCCGAAGTACCAATTTGGTTTTTGGGAACAAGAAGAAGTCACACGGGGCCAAATCCGGCGAATAGGGGGGTGTTCGGTCACCGTAATGGAATTTTTACTCAAAAACTCACGGACAACAAGAGAGGTGTGGGCAGGGGCATTGTCGTGGTGAAGAATCCAACGCCCCTCTCGCGCCAATTCTGGACGAACTCGTGCCACACGAGCTTTGAGGCGTCTGAGCACATCGACGTAGAATTTTCCATCAACTGTCTGGCCTGGAGGGACGAATTCTTGATGCTTTCTCGGCCCTCTCTGAATCTTTTTAGCCACTTGTGGACGGTTGGTTCCTTCACAGCATCATCCCCATAAACTGTTCTGAGATCGGCAAAAATTTCACGGCCATTCTTGCCGAGTTTCGAGAGAAACTTGATTACGACGCGCTGCTCTTCAACGGAAGCGGGCTCCATGCCGACGGGGTTTCGTTAAGAGCTAACTTCACAGATGGCGTGACAAGCCAGTTCGCACCGCACGGCGGTCAGACCAGAACTGAAGCATTGTTAGGGACATAAGGAAGGGGTCCTGCGCTTACCTGGCCTCCCCACTCCTCTTTCTCGCATTCCAGAACACTTTTATACGAACTTTCCGGACAGACCTCGTATGTATGGTATATATGGCGAAATACCTTCCTGGCGAGCAGCTTGTTCTCGCTGTGGCGGCGGGCGACCTCGTCCGCGAGCGCGGCCTGCAGCCGGGCCTCCTCCGCTTGCAGCGCCGCCGCGCGCTCCCGCAGCGAAGAGTTGTCCGCCGCCAGCGCCGCCACCTAGCGACCGCCAACGCAATACATAAGTCCAGCATCGAGCGGCCAACACAGAGGTGTGGAGAAAGAGGAGGCCAGAGGGAGACTTTGTACAAAAGTCGTTTATTTGGACACCTCTGTCCCATTCGTGTTTCTACCGGGAAGCAGTTGTGTTTGCATAGCTGTGTTTCGGTTTGAAGGGTGGGATATGGCAGTGAATTTACAGGGTACAGATGAATAACACCTGAGTCCTCAGGAATGGCAACGCATGGGGGGTATCATGGGCGAAACAGTATACTCTGTTATGTTCATGGTACTGCTTATGTCTATAGACGACGGTTACCACTTTCCATCAGGTGGGCTGTCAGCTTGTTTGCCATTCTAAGTAGTATAAAAAAAAAGTACCGGACCGCTAGTATACTATAAAAATAAACACAGATATGATGATGATGAATCGAATTTTAACGGTTTCACTCCAATCGAACTAGCTACGGATTAATAATGGACACTGGATCAATCAATCAAAGTCTTCTCTACACCCGCCAGATGGCGAGGACGGGCGAGGTAGGGGCTTCGGGGCGTACATCCACCACGCACGCCATCCACCCTATCTTGAGAGAAGAGACCTGCTCTTACCATCTGGGGGCGGGTCGCTGCCGTCGGAGATGCGAACCCATATCTCCGACATATGGCACCCCGAGGGTATATCGTCTGGTTTTTGGTGGGTACACTTCGGGGGGATTCCCACAGTACCCATTCACCTCCCACAAGGTGTATGGGTCTGCATAAAGCATTTTCCAGACTTTAAAAAAAAAGGTGGAGGCGGTGCGTGGTGCGTGTTGCGTGGTGCGTGGTGCGTGGTGCGCGGTGCGCGGTGCGTAGTGCGCGGTGCGTAGTGCGCGGTGTGTGGTGTGTGGTGTGTGGTGTGTGGTGTGTGGTGTGTGGTGTGCGGTGTGTGGTGTGTGGTGTGTGTGGGTGGCGGGTGGCGGGTACCTTGGCGGCGGCCTGCGCGGCGCGGTCGCGCGTGCGCACGTGCTGCGCGGTGTGTGGTGTGTGGTGTGTGGTGTGTGGTGTGTGGTGTGCGGTGTGTGGT